GCCAACGTCATCCATCATCAGCGGAATTGACCCACGTATGGGTGGTGGAGGAGAGCCCTTTGGCGGCGGCTCTGGCATCCTGCCAATGATCACAGCGCAACGTGACCGTTTCAAAAAGCGAATTGCCGAACTAGAAAGCGAATTGTCGGACACGCATCGCACCGTCTCGCAGCTGAGACAGGAAGTATCAGCTCTTCAAAAGGACAACCTCAATCTTTACGAGAAGACGAGGTACGTCTCGACATACAATCGGGCCGGACCTTCAGCAACGTCGTCTTCAGCGGCATTCGCATCTAACCCGAACCCTTCAACGGTTTCCATTGGAGGCAGCGGCAACCCGGGAATTACAATGGACAGATACAAAAAGGCATACGAATCGAATATTTCGCCATTTGCCGCTTTCCGAGGGCGGGAGTCTGCCAGGGCCTACAAGCGAATGAGCTTCCCCGAACGAGTGGTATACTCAGTAACGCGAATGGTGCTGGCCTCTCGGACTAGTAGAAATCTATTTGCGGCGTACTGTGTCGCGTTGCATTTACTCGTCTTCTGCTCGCTATACTGGCTCGGCACGGTGGACGTGGAGCAGCATGCCAGTAACCTTGGCAAGTCGGTAGCAGGAGCCGCCGCCGCGGGCGCCGGGGGCCTCAAGGGAGGGGCCGGAAACGGCCACGGCGACTGGCAAGAGGAGGGGTTTAGTGGGCACTAGGCGGTGTTCAGTAACGTAAGGTGTCTGCTTGACGATGAGAGGGGGGGGGGGGCAACGAGATGGATGTCGATTAAACCAGCGACGAACGACTCTATGTGGGCGAAAACTGTATGCATAAAACTTGTTTTTTACCGACAACTGTACGATTGGGCGTTAGGACATTTGGTATGAACCGCGGCAGTACTTTAACTTGGCTGAGTGTGGGATGTTGTCAGAACACAGATGCCAGATCACTCTGAATATCAGTTACCGGGGAGTGAACGGGAACTTGTTCCATTATCCGAGATCATCTGGTCGAGATCATACCTTACCTTAGATGGCGTCAAGCAGCGTGGGAAACCGTGGCTCCCCACCTGGTCCACCACGATGTTCTATTCTAGGTTTCCCTTCCCGCTTCGACCTAGGGTAGGGTGGAAGGCTTTCTCCAGTCCCGAGCTGCCACCCAAATATCCAAAAAGACCAGCGACAATTCCCATTCGACGAGCGATTCCCGTTTGACGCTGGCCCGTCTGCGCGGCCCGGGTGGGGACATGGACTTGCAACCAATGAGAAGCTATTGCGGCCCTGGTTGGAAGCGCGGCAAAAGAAAGCAAACATAACCTTGAAAATGTACAAGAGCGGGTACATGCAACGTGGGCGCGTCGCCGGGCCAGAGACGGGTACAGCTTTTTTTGCAAGGTGGTACCGTCCCTGGGTAATCTCAGTCGGTTTGGCCTATCATATGTGAGGGTTGACGCGATTCTCTTGTTGCTATTTCAGGTTTCTAGCCGCTCTGGTTCGCTATTTTGCAGAGACACACATATGAGGATACACACACTCTCTCGGTCAAAGTCCAGATGAGGCAGGCCTTGTCTTTCATCGATACTCACCATATTGATGCAAATGAACAGACGGGTCAAGAAGGACAAAGGCGGACTGATTATTGCCATGTAGTAGGTCGGGTATAGCAGTCGATACAGTTGACAGAAGATAACGCCCTCCGTTGTTCACCATCCTCACTCGCATAGCACTCTTATTGTACAAACTGACATATTCTCGTCAATATACCTCAGATACCTTAGGTAAGTAATCGATAGAAGATAGACGCAAACACACGGCTGCGACCTCGAATCCTCGAGTCCTTAGCAGCGAGCGAGCACAACACCCTCGAAAACGTGGAGCGCGTCGCTACCTGTCACCACACATCGAGGCCGTTCGAAGCGGGCCAGGCGCTTGCATCTTCCCTGACCCCGGCGAAGATCGCCTGGCATCCACACACCCCGCTGGTATTACTTGCATCTCTGCCATTCCACTCATTCGCCCTCGCTCCCACACATCCTCGTCCTCCTGTCCTCTTCCCGCCCGTCGTACGGTTGCATGGCATGGCGGCTGCCAGTCTTGATTCATGGAAGCCGCTGCGAATACCGAGCCGTTGCCTCGCACACCACGGCGGCAGACTCCCCCTTTCCCCCGGCTACCCTCCCCCCGCCATCTTTTTTTGTAACCTGCCATTGATACCATGCCATTCTGGGCAGGTCAGGAACCTAGGGCCCTAATGAGATGCATTGGCCGCCGTTTCTTTGCCGCCGGGGAAGGGAGGTAAGCGATTTGAGGACGTCGTGGTATATTAGAAACGGCTGCCCGCTTGCACTACGGAACTTGTGTAGCCCACCCCTTCCATCTACCACGGTTCATCTCATATATCGAGAGAACGAATCTGCTTCCGCTTTTCTTGAGTTTTTCATTATTTCCTAGTCTCGCATTTCATTGGTTTCGTTTGGGTTTTTACTTGCTTGAAATTTTGGTTCGACATTTCCACTCTTCTGGGGAACGAAGCATAATCACCAACACCAACAACCGAACATCATCGAATACCTTGACATCCGCCCTTTCTACTCCACATTATCACCCCCAACACACGCAGTCACATATAACCAACATGCGTTGCTCGACACTGTTGGTGCCGGCTCTGGCATCCCTTGCCCTTGCTGCGCCGACTTACCCCACGCTCAACCTCCAAGCCGCGTTGCCGGGTAGCATCGAACAAATCTCCGAGTACTTCAACATGCTGGCAACCAAGGTTCAGGCCACCAAGTACCTATCCACCGCACCAGTCTGCGACCTCTCCACGGCTAAGCTACCTCAAGGTGAGTTGAGAGAGAGCTCCCGCGGCCTGGTAAGAGGCTTATGTATACTAACACCACATTCCCCAGCCGCAACCGAGACTCTCGGCAAGCCCAGAGACGGTCTAACCCTCATGCACATCGCCATCGGCCGCGGCACCCAAAACTACACCTGCGACACCAGCAACTCGACAGCCGTCCCTATCGCCACCGGCGCCGTCGCCACCCTCTTCAACGCCAGCTGCGTCGGTTCCCTGTACCCGGACCTGCTCGACAAGCTGCCGGTGGTGGCCATGGACTTCAACCTCACCGAAGAGGAGACGAACCGCCGTCTGGGGCCGAGCAACCTCGCCATCTCGGGCCACCACCTCTTCACCGGAAAGGGCGTCCCGCTCTTCATGCTCGAGAACGACGGCGCGTCCGTCGGCGACTCTTACTGCGCCAAGAACGCGTCCATGCCCGCGCCCCTCACGGCCCAGTCCGGTCAGCACGGCGAGGCGGCGGTGCCCTGGCTCCGGCTGCGTACCGTCGAGCCCAGCACCGGGGACGTCCAGGAGGTGTACAGGATACACACCGTCGGCGGCAGCGCGCCGGCTTCGTGCCAGGGCCAGGCTGCTACGATTGAAGTCCAGTACGCTACACAGTATGTTTAAAATCATCCTCAGTTGAGACTGCATAGATCAGTTTGACTCACAACAAGCTTTAGATACTGGTTCTTTTCTGGCCCAGCTCAATAAGTCGCACCACTTGATGAGCACTCACTTTGCGAAAGAGAATCAACTGTTCTGATTCGAAAGGCGTTGGAGGTGTTTTTGGGTTTCCGCAGAAATATGTCATAGTTGTTCTTATTCGATATACCATCATGTATTCCCACGGCAGTTGTATAGGTCATCATCCTATTGATGAACTTTTGTGTTGTGGCTGGAGATTAGGCCGGCCAGTAGACTGAAGCCGCTAGATAACACTCGTAATGGAATGGTCGTCTGTTGAGTCTTGTGAAGCCCATCGAGGTGTTCGTATTGATGCATGAGTCAAAGTTCGTTCCTAATATTTACAGATACGAAGACCAACAAGATGGAGGCAGCCGTATCCGTAAACGGTGTGAATTCGGCGTGCCGCCCTTTCATCATACTTTATCAGTTTGGCCAACCTTATTGAGAGAAAGTGGTCACCGCATCTGTGAGATGGTTAGACAGCAATATAATGGGTAAGTCATCATGTGAGTGCATGCCCAAAAGGAATGAGGAGAATGTGAGAACGATGAGGTGAGTGAGACGCAAGTGGAAGGAAGCATCGGTGATACTCAGTGCAAGCCTGGGCCGTTAAGGTAGGTAGTCAGGACCCTGACTGGGTCCACCACCTACCTAGCCTCGCCCCGGTCCTTGCCGGAAGCACCCCGCCAAACAATCCCATGTTGAACACCTGGGAGGGCTGAGGTAAGGTACTTGCTGATCCCTAGGAAATAGCCCCACCTAGGGCCACATGCTGATCCGAGTAGCCAATAGTGCAGTTGCTTTTGTCTGAGTTGACGCTAAAAAGTGGTCTCACAAACCTCCGACCTGGGCACCTGCCACCAGTGACTTCACTTTTCTCGGCTCCTGCTGGCTGTGCTTTGCAGCGAAATTCCGTGGACTGTCACCTCCCCACTGGGGATTTTTTTTGTTCAATTAATTGCTTCAACAATCCGTTCCAACAACCCGCTTCAACCAAATATCTCTTTGAGCCGATCGTTCGCATTGTTTATTGCGCACCGTCGGTAGCCAGGTATGTAAACAGCAGTTAGATCCTTCATCATCATGCATTATTGCTGACTCCCTGGCCAAGACGATTGTGCACCTTTTGACGATTGCTCGGTCGCCCGCGACTCGTTCTTTGATCGATTTTTGTATCCGACCAAGTGCTCCTGCAGCCACGAAGCACAATTATCCAGCGAACCACTCATTGCTTTCAATAACCAATTTCCCCTCGATTTTGGGACAGGTCACTGTCGAGTACAATATTATTACAGTCTCCCATTCCATTGCCCGAATCGTCCGACCCGACAGCCCACTACCGAGCGACCGATGAATACCGAGCTCCTCCGACTCCCTCACTGAACCTCGACAACCGACACCAAGTCCAGCCAGCCAAGCTCACCTATGCTTGGTTAACCAATGGTCGAAATGAACAGAAGGGCACCTGCTTCTTCGGAAATGCCCCGCAAACGCCGGCGGATACGAGGACAGAGTGCCATGGCTTCAGACCCTCCCCAGCTCACCTGGCCCATTGGCCGGGTCCCAGTCGAGATCTTTGACGAAATCACGACCTACCTTTCCCGACCGGATGTTAAGAACCTCCGCTTGGTCAACCACGAGTTTGACAAGATGATCTCGTCCAAGCACTTCCGCAACGTCGTGGTTCCTTTCCGATCGGAGATGTATAAGGCAAGAAAGCAGAAGTACCTGGACGATGGAGGTCAAGGCCAGCCTCAACTTGGAAAGGACACCCTCTTCTCCAGTGGCATGCGCATTTTCCAGTCTTTCGGCGAGCATATTCTTCGATTTGCCTTGTCGCTTGAGCTGGACGAGGAGAGCCTTGCCTACCCTCCCATCAAGCCGACCCAGCAAGCCGTTACCTCGTACTGGGGTATCTACCGCTGGCCTCATGAGTCGTACAACCGATATGCGGAACTTGAGGGGCTTGAGCAGACTGCCGATGAGACAGCGTCCATGACAGAGGCCTTGAAGTGCCTCGTTCAGGTTCAGGAGCTTGGGCTGTGTTGCGATGCCGGGCTTGGCTACCTTCTGGGACCCGACCAGCAGTTGGAGAGCCCTCCTCTGCCTCACCCGGTCTTTGGCCTCCGCAATCTGCGATACCGAAACCTGCAGCGACGCCTAGCGCGAGCCGATTCGGACTCTATGAACGCCCGAAAGCTCGCCTTTGAGAGTCCTCGAGATTTCAAATACACGGTGCTGGAGACCATGGTCACGAATGCCGGGTACACGCAGGCGCAGGCTAAGGACGCGATTGCTATACTCTTGAGCACCGAGAACGTGTCACTCACTAACATTGACTTTGACGAACGTACCGCCGCCGCTGCTGCCGCCGCTGCCCATGCGGCCGCCCATGCAGCCCAGACCACCGCAGATGCTCGCGCCAACGTAGCTGCTCACGCCAACCAGCACAACATTGCCAACATTGCCCAACTCATCGCCCAGGGTCAACCTGCCCCGTTCTTCAATGCGGCTGATTTCGATCCTCCCGACCATGATGATGAGATTGCCGAAGCAAACGCTGAAGCGAGAGCGGCGGCCACTGTGCTTAATGAGCTCACGGCTGGCCATCCACTGCAGCCCAGGAATCTGACTAGAGCTCAGAAGGAGATGCTGCTGGAGCTGGAATGGGCCCACCGAGCTCTCATTCAATCTTACGTCCTCGCCCTCATCGACAACGCCCGGATGAATAGCTTCAATGCTTTGACGACCCTGACGATCGCCAAGATTCCAGGCAGCCACGTCTACATGCTCCAGAGGTCGGATTTCTGGCAGAGTCTGCCCAACCTGACCAACGTTGCGCTTGCCGTTGTAGCCGATTGGCGCCAGGTTTCTAAAGTTGCCCCTGGTTGCGTCGAGGACGACTTCGTCTCGCCTGTCAAGGCGGTGACTAAGGTGTATCGTTTGATTCAGGACCACATCGCGGCACAGTTCAACATTAAATTCCTCCATTTTGAGTGGATTTGCGGTGGCGAGTTCGCACCTGGCATCACCCAGCGGAATCAATATGTGCTTCCCGCTCCATTCTGCGACCCGATGCAAATGGTTCATCCTGAAGGTGCCAAGTCGCCAGACGCCTTGCTCACTCTACCGCACATCAGACACTTGTCGCTCAAGAACTGCTACTCGGCGCCTCACGTCTTTCTACAGGTTCTACGAACAATGGGATCGCAGTCTCTGGAGAAGCTGGAACTCGAAAGTGTCTCTCTCACGGGCGCACCTACGAGAAATCCTGCTGCCGAGAATGCCTTTGGACCTGCACTCGTCATTGGCCCGGCACATGGTCCAGGCATTGTACTTCACGGGCATGGCCAGGCTCAAGGTGCGCAAGCCGCGGGTCAGAATCAGGCGCCTCCGTTGCCGCCGGCACCTCTTCAACCGCAAGTCAACCCGGGCTTCGGGGGTGCGCCAGGGGTTCCGATCCCTCAGGGCCCGCTGCATGCTCCTGGCATCTTGCCGGCGCATCTAGCTGGCATGATGATGCAGCAACCTCTTCCGCTAATCGCCAATGTGGCGAACAACGCGGCGCCTCCACCTCCACCTCCACCTGATCCAATGGCCGGCTGGGGTAGGATGCGACTACGACAGCCACGACTGCTGTCTTGGGCTGGCATCATTGAACGTCTTGCACCGACCCCACCGATTCAAGAGATCATGGTCGGTCAAGGTACCGAAGATGACGAAGAGGATTGGGTGGATGACTTTGTACGGAAGGATGACGGATTCTCGCTCTTGCCGCGGCCGCACAGTCTCGTCAGGGAGAAGGAGTTGCTCAGTATCCACAACATCTCCCTCAAGTCCTGCGGCTACGTGGTCCTGGACATTCCGATGGTTGACAATCATAGCATCATGCCAACCACGTCCCCCTGGCAAGAGCCTGCGGAAGTGACTGCGCGTCGGCGGGAGCTCATGCCCTTCATGCAGTCTTGCGGCGACAGGCTAGCGGCTAAGATCACCAATCATATCAGCAACCAGGAGCACTTTAACCTCTCGACCGCCTTTGGTATGGACACGGAGTGGACCGGTGTGTACGATGAGGAGGTTATTGAAGCTGCAAAGAGGGATGGCATCGTTCACCCTGGAAGAGGACGAATCACGGGCATGATTACTAAGATGGCTGAGCAGGTATGAGCTGCACCACTTGATTACGATGGAAACTGTATAATGAACAATTGGGATTTGGGTGGGCCGCGGGAGTCTTTGGTTTTTCGGCGTTTTTGGCAAAAGATACCACGGGCTCAAAATTGGGACGGAAAGGCGGGCGGGATAATGACTGGATGAGGGACCCATAACTCCGTAGTCACCTTATAGTAGGAAGACAACAAAAGTTGACAACACAATCATCGTCATCATTACCTGTAAGCCGGGCTGAATTGCGTCTCTGAAGTTGCAGTCACAAGAACAGGACTGTTCTTTAGGCCGACCATAGTAGGAATTGCTACCTCAAGACTCGAAGAGTTGGGCAGCGTAGTACTCCATACTCATCACGGGGGGCGACACTGGGGTGATTTGATTTAGAAGCAAGCCAAAATTGAATGCATTTCCTCGTAACCGTTTGACGCCGATGCCGATGCCGATCATGGTAAACTAGGGACCGCCATGGGGGAATCATTGTTGCATGTTTGTTTATTGGTGGCCCATGCAGACCGTTGCGCGTGTGAATTCGCATGCCAATCCCTAAATGCCATGAGACCATAGCCTTCCTGTACACCAGCATATGAAAAGCCGCAAAGTTCTTTTTTGTATTTGAATCCACGCATCCATCCACAACCCAAAGACCAAATCCATCCCAGGGGGGTTGTTGTGGTGTACCGCGCTTGTCCACACTTCGCGCCGACCCTTTTTGCTCACGTCATGAACCGCACACACGCCACAAAAATCGAAGATCCGTTTCTTAAAAGATTAAAGAGTTGGGAGATTCGCTTATGCGGCGGTGATGGCCTGGCGGGTGCGGGCACCGCGCTGGCGGGAGTTGAGGCGGACGTCCTCGCGACCGGCGACGGCCTCGGACTTCTGGACGACCTCCTCGCCCTCGGTGAGGATGAGCTCGATGTGGCAGGGGTTGGACATGTAGGGGTTAATCTGGGACAAGTGTTAGTTCGTCCACCTTCTTCTGCTAGTCTCTGTCTTTCTCCTTCTCAGAGGACAGACTCGGGTGGTAAAAACATACGCGACCGTGGGCACGGTATGTGCGTCTCCGTTGCTTGGGGGCCTGGTTGACCTGGATGTGCTTGACGACGAGGTTGCCGGTGTCGAGGCCCTTGGCGTCGGCGTTGGACTCGGCGTTCTTGAGGAGGCCGAGGAGGAACTCGGCGGACTTGACGGGCCAGCGGGCCTTGGTGACGCCGAAGGCCTTGCCCTGGGCGGTGCGGCCGATGGAGCCGGCGTAGCGGCGGAAGGGGACGGCCTCCTTCTTCTCGGAGACGTTCTCGAGGAAGGTGACGGCGCGCTGGAGCTTCCAGCCGTTGATGGCCTGGGCGGTCTCACGGGTGTTCTTGAAGGACACACGGAGGTAGGCACCGCGCGCGCGGGCCGACTTCGCGGGGGCGATCTCTTGAGCGGCGTAGCGAACCTGAATTGTGACAATAAGGGGTCAGTCTTTTGGGTTCTGGGATGTAACGAGCACTGGATGTCTCCAAGTGTTCCGCATGTTCCTCATTCCTCCTCTTGGTCGACCATCATGAGTGACATAATTGAGTCACAAGTCCAGTTTTTCTCTTCATTTGACATCGTGAAATTTCGACCCTCTTTCGACGAGGGGCAAGGGAATCGTCTCGGCGGCTGCAAACAGGGTCGAAATTTCGTCGAGTACACAGATTTCCTCCTCTTTCTCGTCGACGCGGAACATAGGGAAAGCGAGCGGCGGTGCGACTTACCATCTTGATCGTTGGGTGTGGTGATGGTTTCGGTGGTCGGTCGGTGGTCGGTCGTGGGCTGGCTGTCAGAGTGAGGTTAGAAGAAATTCACAACTTTCGTTGACCCTAGCCCTCCTGCGCCGGGTTGGCTCGCTTGCGGATCGGGAAACGGCAGGGGGGTCGGCCTTAGGGTTCCGCAACCCTATGGGGTAAATGGTCGATTTCTTCCAGCTTTGACCGGGGGAAAAATCACAATGAAAAAACTGATGAGACTCACGATTCGTTTGGTTGAATGATGAACAGCCTGGGGCTTTTTGGGATTTTCTGGAATGAGTTGGCGGCTTGGGAAGTTGGGATAAATGGAAAAGGTGATATTTCGAGGTGTTCTTCAATTCCGTTGCAAGCCAGGTACTGGACACTACCACCTGGTTTCTGACGCTCCTGCCTTCCCCCGAACATGAGACCCCACTTTGCAGGTGGACCCTGTGTCCCTCCTTATCTAATCGCGAAAAAAAAACTTGCCGGAAGGCGGCTCCTCTGAAATTCCGCATTGTCCAATCACCTTGATGACCCCACAATCTTTCTGTCAGTTTGGCCCGTGCGTACTCTTGAAGCTCTCAGAAAAAAAGTCCGACGAAAAATTTCAAACACCCAGCCCAGTATCCAGTTGTCCCAACCCGCCACCAAGAGGATTAGCATTATCTGCGCCTCTCACCCCCAATTCGACTCTTCTTTCGCAACTTGGGAACTGCCAGTCTTGTTCTCTTTCTTTTTGCAACAACGAGTCCTTTTCGACTACCCGACACATATTTAAAAGACAATGGCTCCCTTCACTCCTCGTGGCGGCGGTGGTCGCGGCGGCGGCGGTCGTGGTGGTTTCGGCGGCGGACGTGGTGGTGGTGGCCGTGGAGGCTTCGGCGGTGACCGCGGCCGTGGCGGTTTCGGTGGACGTGGTGGTGGTCGTGGTAAGTTCTTGAAAGAATCTGCTTTTCGCGATGTCAAGTGCGGAAGAATGAGTGTGCTAACAAGATCCTACAGGTGGTGGTCGCGGTGGTCCTGGCGGTGGTCGTGGCCGCGGAGGTGTCTCCAAGGGTGGCAGGGGCGGCCGTGGTGGTGCTGCTGGCGGTCAGAAGGGAGGTCAGAAGGTCATCGTGGTATGTCACAACCCAAGGCTTTTCTTCTCATGATGAGCATTGTTCACTAACAAAAGATCGCAGGAGCCCCACCGTCACGAGGGTGTCTTCGTTGTCCGTGGCAAGGAGGACGCCATCGCAACCCGCAACATTGTCCCCGGCGAGTCCGTCTACGGCGAGAAGCGCGTCTCTGTCGACAACCAAACCCAGAACGAGGACGGCACCACCACAACCACCAAGATCGAGTACCGCGTGTGGAACCCCTTCCGCTCCAAGTTGGCCGCCGCCGTCATTGGTGGTCTCGAGAAGCTCTACTTCGGCCCCGGCTCCAAGGTCCTTTACCTCGGTGGTGCCTCCGGTACCTCAGTCTCCCACGTCGCCGATATTGTCGGTCCTACCGGCTTCGTCTACGCTGTCGAGTTCTCCCCCCGTTCCGGCCGTGATCTGATCGGCATGGCCGCCAAGCGCACCAACGTTGTCCCCATTGTCGAGGACGCCCGCCAACCCCTCAAGTACCGCATGCTCATGCCCATGGTCGACTGCATCTTTGCCGATGTTGCCCAGCCCGACCAGGCCCGTATCGTCGCCATGAACGCCCACCAGTTCCTCAAGGTCGGCGGTGGTATCCTTATCTCTATCAAGGCCAACTGTATCGACAGTACCGCCCCCGCTCACAAGGTCTTCGCCATGGAGGTCGAGAAGCTGAGAGGAGAGCGCATCACCCCCAAGGAGCAGCTTACGCTAGGTTTGTATCCCCCTATCTCCTCTAGAAGGGAAAGCCCTCATGACTAACACACTATCACAGAGCCCTTCGAGCGTGATCACTGCCTCGTCGCTGCCGAGTACTCGCGCTACGCGAAATAAATGTGAAAACGAAAAGGGAGAAAAAAGTATTGTATGCGTTGCGTAAAGAAGAGTGGTGGGTGAGCGGTTGAATCTGTACATTTGCGAGATTCCCACGAGATTTGACTTTTGCTTCAATGGGTACGGTCGGTCGGACTTCATCTGGACAGGCGTTAGGAATTTAGGACTGGTCTAGTTCAAAACTTGCATGTTAACCCATATAGGTATTCAAAAAGTCCCTCGCGGTGAAAATGACATGTTTAATGGGCTTATAGACTTGAATAGGAGTAGTAGTTCGTTGCGCTTTTTGCTGTCTCATTTTCTTCCCCCTCCGTAGTGACTGACAATGGCAGTGACTAACATTTGTCTTGATGTGCCCCTACTTCCACTCCGCCTGGCTCTAATTGCCTCCGTCATCGAAGTCGTCAATGAAAGCTCCCGAAACCCCTTATCCCCAACATGTACGTCTAGACTTCATGCAGCCCAGCCCCCGCTTCACTCAATCACATCCACAAGACTTAAGCCAAGTACCGGCGCCCCACACATCTCCGACCCATCCTCTGTCTGATCGGCCCACGACACTAATCCCGACGAGAGCTGCGCCGTCGGCCTGTCCTCCAGCTGCTGCTGCGGCTGCTCCTCCTGCCCACCACCGATTCTCCACCGGTCCTCGTAGCAGCCGTACTCCACGAGGTCGCGGGCAATGTACACGACCCGCTCCTGCTCGGGCTGCCAGTCCATCGGCTCAGCCGGGCCCCCGGCGCCGACGCTGCGGGCCCACGACTCGACCGATGAGCGTTGCTCGTCCAAGAGGGACAGAATGTGGTTGCGGAAGTGGTAGTTGTCGACGACGAGGTCGCTGTTCTGTTGCTGCATGTGCTGACGTATCTCGCGTCCGGTGTCGTTTATGCTGCGGCGACGTTTCGAGGCTCTGTGATTCACCGGCTCGAGATTAAGCTCGAGGTCGGGCTTATGCTTAGGTTTTCGGCGGCGCCTCACGATATCCAAGTAGCCGTCGTTGTCGTTCTTTCGGTGGTCTTTTTTATAGCCCGGTGTCCTTGATGTCCTGAGGACGAGGGCTGTCGAGGGTGACTCTGGTGGCATGGGGATCATCTTCAGATCGCCGTCTGTGTCCGACTTGGCTTCGGCTTGGCGGTTCTGTCGGTGGCGTTTGGGGGAACGAGGAGGAGGAGGATGATGATGATGTTCGTACAGCGACCGGTGTCTTGGAGTTGCGTGATATTCGATATCTTTCCGAGAAGGGTATCGACGGGTCTTGACGATGGGGAACCCTTCTGTGAGACTCAGGTCCGGCTCTGGACTGGCTTGCCTGCGTTTGGATGCGCGTTTCGACATTCTGTGGCCTCGTGACATTGTGACGTTCCTCACGTAGAGGTCGAATCCTTTTTGAGAGGGGTGTGACGAGGATACTAACATGTGTGGCTATCCGCCATCTGAGGGGATTCAAAACTGCTCAAACTCTGGATATCCAGGGAGTATAACTTTCCGGTTGAGGCTGTCCGTCGATGAAGTCTTCTTATTTTAATCTCGGTTGTACCTGCGAGGTTTGCTCGCGCATCTTCTGACCTTCGACATATTGTCGACATATTGACGACAAAGCCAGAACGACCCAGATCTTGTTTCCCATCGATAGAATGTTAAGTTTCTAGAAGCCAACGAGCAAAGACTCCCCGGTGTGACGGAACAATGTACTAGAAGGTATCTATAGAGGCCAGCCTCGTTCAACCTCGAAACTGAGCAATACGACAATGCCAGGCCTCACAAAGGTTCAACAGTGATGAGGTGAGGCTCCTCTCCCGTTGTGACTTCTTGGGATGACATGTCGTTTCTATCCCCTTCCAGCAAAATACTTCAAAGAAGCAGCATCCTTTTGCTTCGATGGCCCTGACTGAGACATGAGACAAAGCCTACTCCAGCATTTCGAATCGCCAAGGCCAAGACTTTGATCAGCTATTGCTTTCTGACGAGTTCTGACAGGCATAAGTGGACCTGAAATTCCAGAGGAGAGCTATGGATTGGCGTTGTAAGTCAAAAGGATCACCGGTAACACTGCCTACTCCATACTTCAATTACCAGTCTGAAAATGCCCAATCCAAACTTATTTCACTGCCAATTCAAAAGCAATAGTTCCATTTGACTTTATCAAGCTATCTCCCGTTTGAATTTCCTTCGACACAAAGATTGACCACGAGATTGAACAACGATCGCAATACTACGATTGAGGCATAATCCGACTATCACGGCGCCACTGCTTCGGTCATACTGAACCAGGCTTAGATTCGCCGAAAGAAAGACCGACCTTCATTGAGCGCTAGAATTCACTAAGGAGTTGGCTCGCGGCTGGTCTAGACTCTGGAAGACCCAGATAGTGCTAGGGTAGAGTGTAGATCAACGGTCAACCGACCGACGACGAGTATGTCTCGAAATTTGGACTGCTTGTTTTACTTCGGCGATTGAAGACTTCGCATGTCGACTGGAGCAGTCCGCCTCGTCCTTTTGCCCAGAACAGTCCAAACAACCGAGCCGTGCCTCTCTACATTGGCCACATATCAGGGGTTTCTATCCGAACGCCAAGTTGCGTTTCCCTAGCAGCTGGGTATAACGGGACGACAAGCCGAGGAAGACTTACAAAAAAAACAGGTCTGGGCACAAGAGTATGTTGGAAGCCTCGGACTCGCCATGACCAAATACACCTAGGAACTAGATGCCCTTCGCCGCAATGTGCAATATGACGACAGCTCTGCACCCCTGGGCTTCTCTCGGCTTCCTTTGGATCCCGTCAACCAGGCCCTTGCTACCTCTAGCCTCCTTCAGTCACTAACCATGGCCTTCATATCTGTCCCCGCGTGGTTGGATCAGAAAGAGGGGGAACATCGAATCCCAACCCCTAGAGAATACCACCGATTCAGCTTGCATCCGTCAAAGCGACCTCGGAGTAAATGCTCAAATTTCGCGAATGTCGCCGTGGTGGCGTACACACCCCTGATAGATGCGTTGCCCTCCTTTCCCGAAAAGAATCATTCGGGTCTATGTATTACCCCAGACGCTAGCGCTGTCAAGAAAGCGGCACGTTGATTAAACCAGCCACCCAATGAGGCAGTTGGCTCGTGTGTGTCCCGTCTTCTTGTGAGGGCTGAATTACAACACCAGAGACTGCAAAGAGGAGAGTTGAGCGAGGGGGGTTCTCTGTTACCGATACCTGTTGCCTACCACCAAAGTGGCTCTGAAGGTCACTCTCAAACTTGGGCGAGGCTTTTCTTGGGCCAGAAACCAGGATACGGAACGATGACTTCTCCTTCTCGCTCTTCGTCAACCTTTGTCTGGGTCTGGAGTGATCTGTGGACAAGGACGTGAAGGCGGCTGCAACAAGCGAAGAATCTACCTAGGTAGATGCGCGCCTTTGGATCACGACCTTCAGCATTTACCATCCAGACCTCGCTCAGCCGTTCCTTCCCACCTCTACGTCCCTCCTTCCTCAACCCCACCTCAATCCTATTCCCGTCACCAGCACAGCAGCGCCCGTCTAGGTCGGCGAGGTCAGGTCAAGCTGTGTGCGAGGTCGTCGAAAGGTCAAATAAACAAATACTCCCATGAAGTCAGAGTCCAGGTTGACTAAGGGGCGCGCTGTTCGAGTCCGGGCAGGGGCGTGAATAATAAGGTCAGTACTCCCCCTCCTTCCTCTCGTTTATTCTTTTTGTATAATGTCCAGACCGCCAGACGACGAGACCACCAGAGCAAGTGAAGCCAGCGACAGGGAGGTCGGACAAAGTCGTCACCAGCCAGCAGGACAGCAGGGAGGGCTATATCAGAGTGCGTAAGGTATCTGCTCGAATTTTATGGCTCAAACGGGCATCGACACCACCGCCCCGGCTGGGTCGGTAATGGAAAGCTCTCCTACGCGGCGTTGTGGCGGCTCATGTCAATTCTGACGGGAACGCACAGACGAGAACCCCGAACGGACGGCCAGGTTCAGCTCCTTCGATCACGCATATTGCGCATCAAGGGCAGACCCTTGAAGCAGGCAAGTCTGGGGTAAGAGAGCAGGTGTGGTCGACCGTCGACATTTTGTGACTAGTGTGGTCTGGAACTGCTGTAGTTATCTGTATCCGTAAACTATACGGAAAAGTGAGGGGTTTTAATAAAGGCATTAGTGAAAAAAATTGGGATTGGACTCTCTCTATGTTACCACACGCTAGGCTTCTCTATGTTTCTCCGCAATCTGCCCAGCTTTACTTTGTCGAGTCATCCAGATCCATAGATCCGTCGCCCTGGGGCGGAGGGTTGTATACCAACAATATGTTAGAGTTCGACCGCATAGTACCTTCCCACGAGAAGCCAATACGAGAGGCCTGGTCGAGAAACCTCTGGGCATTTTGGGGAGAAGAGCCACTCTCAAGGCTATGATTAGCCGGGAACACGCCCTCAAGTCCGTCCAAGGTAGCAGTCTTGGAGCGCTGCGATCGATGAAACACAATTTGACCCCCTTCAGAGGCAATGGACTGCCGGCACCAAGACCTCGGATCTGTTGGAGGCAAAGGTAACATGGTTCGATGCCGTCAGTGGCAACCAGCCTCGGACAACTCTCTTGTCCGGATTCCAAACAAAGCCCCTTCACCAGTGGATTATAATAACGGGACAATCGAGGTTACGATCCGCCGCGGCGAAAGGCTTTGCACCGAGGATCGAGGCTGGCCAACGACAACGAAGAGCTCAAAGAAAAAGGTAAAGCAGGTAGCCAGAGTCGCAGAGGTGCGGCATAAGCCGGTAAATTAAGCTGATGAATGAAGACCAGCTTGGGCTAGGCCCTATGGACGGGACCCGCGTGTTGGCTTTGCCATGGTTGGACTCTTGGAAGGCCGGCGTGTTTGACTTGAAAAGCTTGGTGGTTGCCGATTCCCACGGAAATCTGTGCGGTACGTACCGATGCTCGGAAGAGAGCCCCACTTCCCCCGCTTGGGATAGGCAGGAACAGGCACCTTGGTCCTGGGGAATGAGTGGTGCAGTGTTGGGGTAAATATGGGTAAATTCCCCATCTTCAATGCCACCCTTCCTGCCTTCGTTGTCACCACCAGAAACCTCCCGCCCAGTGGCCTCCTTCTCTTTGGGTCCTGACTTCCTATTCGTACACAGTAGGCTCCTGGCACCTGCTGCTTCGCTCCGGTCGACCGCACCCAACCAAGTTCATCTCGGAGCATGCACTGTAGCACTGCAGATTCACGAGTCTCCCTCCCCAGACTTTGCCTTCTTCATGCATTTTAACCCTTCTAGGCTTCTACGCCTCCCATCCTCCGGGCTTTGGCAGGCCTGGTAGCTAATCAGCGTCCATCCAGATCCTCCAACAGACACCTCGGTACGGCCGTACTATCCCGTCTGGGTCTCCAAACGACGGCACAGCTTGTGCCTAATTGTGAAGTGGCTGTCTGAAACTGGGGTCGGTCAAAATCAATCTGAGCTTCGTGGCCGAGGTCCAGCTACCTAGGTCTCTCATCACCGCGTGGTATCGTCCAGTTCAACAACCCATTCCAACAGCCATCTTCCACAGATCTGTCTCTGGCGTGTGGCTTGGCACCGAGCAGTCGGAACCACGAATTTCGCAGACGGCGCGGCGCTGGAAAGTCTCGCTCGTCCCATCTCAAACCCATAGGAGACCACACTCCAGACGACATCACGCCGCCGTCGCCTTCGTCTCTGTTTTGATTCCATCCTACGAGCACCCGTTCACCATCAGCTCGGAGACATTGTCGATCATGGCGCTCCCCACGTGGGCGAAGCTTCCACCGTGCCGCCAGCCGGTCTGAGAAATGTTGGGACAAAGCAGCAGCCAGCCAGCAAAATCGACGGCATTTCGAGTCATTGTGGCTGGCCGTCAAGCTATTTTCATCTCAATGATGAATTCTTTGAAAGGCCCTGCGCGAACCAACGACTGCATACTGACCGTTGCGTCCCGAAACGGAATGGCTCCCCATCTCAAGGTCAGAGATCAGTCTTTGTTCATACCTGATTCACCATGGCTGTGTCACCAGCGCATCGGATGATACGGTGAAAGCAACGCGGACGTCAGCCTTCGCTAGCTGCCGCCTTCCACAGCGTGGCAATGCTCTCTAAATTGGATGGTGCTGTACGGAACTCTGCAGCAGAACGTCAGCGCCCACGGCCCGTTTCCAACAGCACCATCCGAGGGTTGCAGAATGACACCCTTCTGCGGCTTAAGCACTTCGTTGAAAGCAAGGCCAACTAGCCCTACAGTCTATGGAAAACTCACAATTTCCTCGAGTCGTAATCCCGACTCTTTTATCGCAACTACCCTGCTAGTCTTCATGGGGTCAGCAAACACGAGCTCCCTTTGGTCCAAAGACGCCACATCCAAATTACAGCCCTCGATCCCTGGTTTGCGGTGGCTTGACAAGGGTTTCACTAGGAGGATAGAAGTCGAGAGAGGCATCGGCCAGGAGGCGCCTGAGTGCCAGACAGTTTGGGGTTTGGAACCGTGGTACCCTTCCGCCGACCATCCCGCCGCCTTGACCATGATTTGCACGTCCAAGCTCTGCGAGAAAACATGATATTTCCGCCTGAAGTACATGGCTGGCTTGGGTAGGATGACAAGCTCCCATCACAATGCCAACTCAGGGGTATCCGGTCACCATGAGGAGGCCACGCGGTGAGGGAGGATGGCGACGGCCATCACTCAGGGAGTTCAGAAATTGATGGCAATTTTGTTCAACGAAAACGCTCGGGCACTGCAGAATACCTACGGATATGCAGCTCGACAGCTCACCCACCCAACGAAGAACTTTGGCCCAGGGCCAGGGGAGCCTTGTAACGGTGCTGGTATAGGGAATCGCCCAGGGGCCCCTGGCGTCCCCAGGTTCGTCCGACCCCGCGCCAAGCTGGTTCCAGTGGGTCCGGATGCGGCGAGCTAAGTCCTTCACTTGGCCTGTTCCAGCTTCGACAACATCCTTCCTCTAAACCCCCTAGTGCCCTCTCACTTCTCTTCACGCGGACATGGCGACCACACCAAATCTCCAGCAATTGCCAGGTATCTCTACTGCGTAGTGTCTTCTCTCCCGTGGTTCTCTGCCCAAGAGGGTGTCCAGGAGGGTGCTCACGTACTTACACGCCCCGGTCCCAACATGGAACATGGTCTCGACAGCATCCTGGCCAATCCGGCCCTACACAGCCCCTGCTACACGCCATGCAAAGGCCCAGGGCCTGCGGCGCCGACGAGTTGATGACTGGCTCCTTTCCTCTTTTCTTACATTTTACCGTCGTTGCCATCATCTTCGATTCCGTCTTCTACGCCTTTTCCGGACCATGTTGATTCTCGTTTCTCGACAATTCGGTTCCTGGATTCTGGCTCAGCACATCCGCTTGTGCTCTCCTGCAGACCATCCCGGTCAGGAGTTTGCATAGAATCTTGATAGGAAGTTGACATATTGGACCGCCCCTATTGGGTTGGGCAACGCCTTTACAACCCGTTGCTCGTCAGAGCTGTCGCTACTTTCGTTGGCTGGGACCATTTAGTGAGGGGGGTCAGTGTACTTGAACGGTTGGCCGTCCACCATTTCACGAAACCTATTTGCAACATTTCGAGCAAGGCCCACGACCAAAGTCGTCGACAATCACTATCACTTGTTCAAAACATCGCTGGTTGCCGTCAACGCAGACACCAGTCCGACGTTGTTTCGTACCGTGTAAATCGACCCGACCACACAAAGGACCTCTGCCGGTACCGTAGACTACCATCGACAACATGGACGCACCGCAAGAGAAGGCCAACTTGGACAAAGGAGACCTCGACCTTCTCAGCATCATAGAACGGACCTGCTCGGTCTTCTCGCTGCTGGGATGTGTATTCATCATTGTCACATTTTGCTCGTCTAGAGCGTTCCACAAGCCCATCAATCGGCTCGTATTCTTCGCTTCCTTTGGAAATACGATGACGAACGTTGGCACGCTAATGGCGAGGTCCTACATTGGTTCTCCGGACTCGCCAGGCTGCCAGCTTCAGGCCTTTTTGGTTCAAATGTTGGTACACTGGCCCCGCTACAGGTTCTCGTCTAACACACTGAAGGTTCATGCCGGCTGATGCATTTTGGACACTTACTATGGCCATCAACGTCTACCTGACGTTCTACTACAAGTTCGACGCCGAAAGACTACGGAGAATGGAGATACCGTATCTTGTTTGCTGTTATGGAATTCCCTTCATCCCAGCACTGGTCTATGTCTTTGTCAGGAACGGCGATGGATTGAGGGTCTATGGCAACGCGACATTATGGTGCTGGATTCGACCTGAGTGGGAGATCTGGCGCATTCTAACATTCTACGGACCCGTTTGGTAGGTTCATTTCTCGCTTCAATTGGGTTTTGCTAATTGTCCAGGATTGCAATTTTGATCACTTTCTTCATCTACATCCGCGCGGGCCGAGAAATTTACCAAAAGCGAAAGCAGCTTCACAATTTCAGCTCCTCGGACCACGACCAAATGAACTCGTTCCACGACGTTCTAACCTCGGTGAAAACGACCGAAGTCTACGTCACCTCGGAAGCGATGGATCAGCCTCAGGGTTCTATTGGTCTTGCCACAGTGGGAAGACGTGGCTCGGAAGCTGGGCCAGTCCCACGACTACCCAACGCTGCTTACTCTGTCAGCATTTCTGCCAATCGCTATAGCCGCAATGAATCACAAGCAGAAGCGGCTGTCCCGCCTGCCGAAAGTAACACGGCGGATGCTTCCGCCCAGCGGCCGATGAACTCTGCTCGTCGACGCAACTACGAGCTCAACAACGCGGCTTGGTCTTACACCAAATGTTCGATCCTGTTCTTCACAGTCATCTTGATCACCTGGGTCCCGTCGAGTGCCAACCGCGTCTACTCGGTCATTCACACCAAGGAGTCTTCGACGCCGCTTGAGTTTATGAGTGCCTTCGTTCTTCCGCTTCAGGGCTTCTGGAATGCGCTCATCTACGTGGTGACTTCATGGAAGGCCTGCAAGACGCTATGGACCGATATTAAGTATTCGTCTCGACGGCCAGATGTGACGGAAATTGTGGGCAGTTTCAGGCACAGCGACCAGTTCAAGATCCCGAGCCAGAACCGCAGGACAAAAAACTACGAGAGTGAAAGCATAACGGAGCTTACGAATAGTCGACCGGTTTCAAATGAGCAGGCATCGCGGTCGTAGTGTATGTAGGAGATGCGCCCTTGTCACGATAGCGAAACGATTTCTTGTGGATGATACCCCGAAGCCATGTTGTTGTTTTGGGAGGCCCTGCCGCGGAAGCAGATTTCAATTTGTTGCTTTTGAGGGGCATTTGTTGCGTTGGCATGCCCCAGCTGAATATTTATAATGATCTTGTCTGTAAAACTCGTTGGTTGTAGATAACACATCATTTATTGTTCATTTGTCACTCTGCAGAACTTCAGTATCTTCGCCTTGTGAAATCTCCTTGATGTAAAGTCTCTTGGCGGACTCGTTGTCTCTAGCAAATGTATTTTGCCCACAACGCCATGAAAAAGACGCCATTGGGACTGGCGCTTACGACCAGACGGACTAACTCGAGAGGAGAGGAAGCGCATTCAGCTTCCACGTGCCGTCCGTCCCAAAGACTCAGATGGGTTCCTGCATTTTTCCAACGGCGCGCTCCTCCTCGGGTAGTCTAAGTCTGCACTTGGGTTTTTCGTCTCGTCTTGGTGTTGTCTGGTCTCGTCTCAGGGCACTACGCGCGCGCAGGAGCCGTGCCGTGTAAGCAGAGCACGTAAGTATGACATGTTGCGTATATTGCTTGGGCTTTTTTCTCTTTCTAGTTGCAGAGAACGTAATGGATCGACACTCCCAGCGGTCCGTGAGCTCAGAAATTGTTCCAGGCGCACGTTTCTCGGGGCGGTGCGTGTTCTATTAAGACAGCTGCGCGCAAGCAGAGCTGAGCAAACACCTCGTGGTCCCTTTCCAGGGTGCCAGGTTCCCGGCACTTCACGTCTGTCGTTTGGTCATGCAGACGGCTGCAGGGACGCCGGGGTTGTCTGTGTCTTTTTTCCTCTTCCTGCCTTGCGATATTCGGGTCCGTCTTCTTTGGTCTCTTGAGTGATGAGTCTTGTGTTGCAACCTCGTCTGGACTTACTGTCGGTGTTTCTGCGGCTGGCTGATCTCTTCTCAGGGGCACTCATCCATCCTAGCTGGGAGCATCTTCACGCAGGATTGCTGGGAAAGAAGTCTTTAGTCATGACTGACGAAAATTCGCTCAGTCTATTGCTTTTGAGTTTGACTGTGCTTGTCGCTGATGAAGATTTTAGTCAATTACAATTCAAGAGAAGGACAGACAGAGAAAATCACGGATACACCGCCCCCCTTACCCTCTGGGACGAAGTCTACATCGGACTTGGGGTTGCAGAGAAGATGGAGCAAATTGCCCTAGTACCATTGCATTCCCATTCCCAATTCCCACACAAACCCACTTTCCCAGCCCAGTGGGTTTCTGGAGAAAAAAAGGTCCCACGCAATGCCGCAATGCCAAGTTGGAGGGGAACCTTGGCGGCGCGCATGCAGGGGCATACAGGGATCACTGTATGTACTTCTGAAGTTGGCCTGATTGACAATCACCTCGTCCTCAGTAATGGCTGCGGGAATAAAAGAGAAATGGGGAGCGTGGGGGAAGTTGATGCTTGGTAAACTTGGCGATGCCGTCTCGGGCGGGTTTACTTCCCCGAAACTTGGCTTCACTGCAAGAGGAAACCTCAAGCTTTGTGTGCTCTTCCATTGCATCTGCCCTGGTTCGGTTTGCCTGCGTTGCCTCAAAATGATACCGTGTTGAACACCCTGGCCTCGGAGTCAGAGGCGATGTTGGTCTTGGAGTGTGGACTTGGCGGTTTGCTTCGTCTTCATCACTAGCCAGCAATATTCTCGTCAACACAAACACATTTTGGAAGTCACTGTTCTTGCTATTAGGAGCCACCCTTCTTAGCCTGCCCTGCCTTTTGTCCTGACGGCGGCTCGACAAGCATTTCAATCCTTGTCGCCCTATACCTTCAACGTCAAACTATTACTCTATTCGTACATAACAGACACCACAAGCTTAGGGCGGGTTGTGGTCCGTGGAGAGACCATCAAGACAAATGACAGCAACCACCAATTTAATGTAACCAAACAACAAGAAATGCCGCGGTCGAAGATCCGATCCTCTTCGAGAAACGGGACTATTGAATCCATTATCTAGTGTAAGAAGCCGCATGCAAGGCCATGCAGGCATGTGGACAGTAGTATCCGTAGTCGAAAATTCCCCGACGAGCAACATTTGACGATACCACGGTAGTACGGCACTTGTTCTCTTTTGAATGGTGAACCCTTCCCGACGATCCCGTTTCATCTGCCGTCACGGTTGCTTTCTGGAGTCTGGATCACACGATTTCGAAATGCATGTCTAAGCTACGGTGGAACGGACGCAGCTTTGGGTTTTCGTTTCTACGTGGCTGATTTTTCTTCCCGCGCGTAGGTTGAGGCCGAGTATCCGGGAGTAAGTGAAACCGCACGCGCTCTTGTTCATCGTGATCCTCTTGTGTGGAGAGTGGTGGTCGGTTGGTTCCCCTTGCATCGTCTGTCGCCGGCAGTCATATATTCCCGTGCTATTTTCCAAGATCTACCCATTTCTTCTTTTTTTTCGTCGATGACGATGTGACTCAGGTAATCAACGACACAACGGGCCACCAGACCGAGACATCCACTCCGATAAAGCAACGACGGTTCCTCACGGCCCGGTGTAATATGTACGAAGATGCCCGCCCTGCAGCCTAGGTACAGTAAAAGCATCGCGCGGGGCGCAGGTCACTACAATTCGAAAATTACAACCACAGGATCAACATCCCCCCAACTTCAGAGATAATCAAGTCGTGGCGGGATGAATACCGTCTCCCCGAGTCCCGAGGCAAAAACTTCCTGGTATTTGCCCCTCCATCTCAACAGACACTCAGGGTTATGAGATCTAGGGCGTTCTTCAACGGCAGTGGCTGCTCCTAGCAAGCCCTGTTTTTGGGGCTATTTCTTACCAGGGAAACGTCAAAGCGCAAGAAGTACCGCATTCTCTGAGGCGGAAGGCGTGTACCTTACAAATCGTACGACTTGCTTTTTTGCATCTTTGTGGCCGTAAGGTAATCGAATCGTCTCGGTGCGGTATAGTACGGTAATGCAACAGAGAAGGGGGCTGTATCCTCGTCTTCTCGTAGGTCATGACTTTCCCTACTGTTTTTTATTTTTTATTTTTATATTTTTTAGAGATGGCATGAGTGCAAACGGAGCCAGGTTGGAGTTGAAGAGGTTACAGATATCCCACCAAGCAGCGCTCTTGTTTTGCACTGCGCTGTATTATTCATCTCCCCTCCAGCCAGGTGCAGATGGACTTGGCTTCATATCCACCATCTAGTCTTCCCGTGCGATGGTCTTTGCGAATAAAGAAACTGCGAGCTTGGAAGCTTCATAACCTTGTCCCTTGTCGGCAGTATCGTCGAAATATATCTCCCACCGACTGCGTTTTTGAGCCTTTTGCAACTAGATGAATGGTTGCTATCTGCCTGAAGTGACACTATGTGCCACGAATAGTAACCCAAGGTCGGCAAACCGCTCCAGTCCGCAAAGGTTGAACAGCCGTCGCTGTTCTCGATGGAGTATAGTATAGATGAAAGCCTTGAGGAGATATAAAATTTTCCTTTCATATCTTTGATAAACCCATGAAAAGAAGAGAAACCATCAAACTGGCATAAGCACAACGTATCTAGAAACACTCAGACAACAGAGCATCATCTCATCCGCTTCCACTCGACCTTAATTCCGCATATAACCGTCTTCCAAACTGTATCTTCATCACTTCTCCTTCAAGATGCCCCTCTTAGCAACTTTTCTAGCCGTTACCCTAGTCAGCCTCTACACAGCAGGCTTCGCAACAATCGTCATATTCGATCACAACGATAAGAAAACCTCCAAAGTGGATGAGGAGACCGAAGAACTACTCGAGAAGAGAGAAGATGAGAACGAGGGATTCCTCGAGAAGCGAGAAGAAGATGTCAGCCCCGAGGTATTGTGAACCCACGTCAGCCCTCCCTCCTCCTCCCACCGCCGCTTTCGCGTCTGCTTGAGAACCTGATAGAAACACATTTTACCAACGTCCAAGAAAAAGCCTACGACCTTGAGACGGTGTGAATACGATTGTGATTATACCTTCGAGTATAGAGATAATCAACACTCACTTTCGGAAGGGGAATGGAGATATTGAGCGTCGAGGAAGATGATGAGAAGGATTCATGGAATTCCACAAAGCGTCAGCAAGCAATAGACAGCATTGGTTCACCATTAGTAAAAAAAATCCCGCGTCAGTCGATACCTCCCATCTATCTTTTTTCTTCACAAGGAGAGAAGGATGGAATGAACACGAGATAGGCGGATCATAGTGCCTTCAAAAATCCCCAAAAAGTATACGACCTCTCTTATTCATTGTTCGTGTTGCTAGTGTGTTACGAGTGTGTTGACTGTCCTTACTTCTGCCCCGTGAACTCGCGCATGCCCAATTTTCTCATCTTAACAGCATTCAGATGATAGAGAGTCCGGCCTCCAGCGTCTACCAAAACCATCAACAATATAAACGACATAACTCTCCAAAAGTTTCCCGCGATATAGAAACAAAACGAGTGGATAATGCGGGGACCAAGGGACCAGGATAAACCCTCGAATAGTGGTTTATCCAACCACCAGGGTCCCATCATCGTAGAAGCCCTTCCTCAGATAAGGGTTCCTGGACTTAATATGCGAGGGGATGCTAGGAACCTCTCTGCCCGATTAACCCGAAGTCACCTGTCATTAACTCATAGCCAGATGGAATCCAACAACTCTGCCACTTGCTCTTCTCTTTAGACGTGTCAACTTCGTAACCAGCATTGGGTATTCGAGTCATGCGGTCAAACTTTTGTGAAATCTTCGGGGACCTCGCCGTGGACGTTTCACCCTCAAAGGTTGGCAAGGCTGTTTGTTCCACGAGTGACATATACCGATTGACTTAGACCTCACCGTGTCGTCTCCATGATTCCAGTCTGTATAGTTCTGCTGCTAACATTGGGTACTCTTGCAAAGTAATAACTACAGCTGATTCCAACGTATAGTGGCAGCGCCATCTTCCGTAATGCTGTGGGCCCACCCGGCCTCTCAGAAGTCCCCAAGAAGCCCGATAAATGAGGGCACAGCGGCATACATAGAAAACCACACCGTGTCCCGTTGGATCCGTTTCCCAAGCCGATATGTAAAGCAAGTGGCTCTGTCGGCCATCCAGGGGGGTATTGTGAAAGAAATCTGGCCTCCAACGCCGTACCGAGGGAAACATCTCTGCTCCCTCAAAGTGACAAAAACATTCCATCCGTTTCTTTGTGATTCGCGAAAGAACCAAACAGTATATGACAGCGCAACTATCATTACGCTTCCTTGACTGCCTCAATGATGCTGTACTCCCACGCCGTCTTGAGCTGCTCGCACTCTTCCACAATTCTGGGGTTCTCCCACCACCACTGATCTGCAGTGATGTACTGTCCCCATACTTCCCTCCAGAGCATGCGACCGACGATACTGCGTAGCTCCTGCTTGACAGCCTTATCTGCAAGCACCTCGGCATCGGTCGTGGCCGTGTCTGGCCTGTCTGTTGGTGGTATGGCGGAAAACCTCACAGTGGTGATGGTACTGCCTTCAGCACGGAGGGAAGCATCTGCTAACCACAGAGGGAAGAGTTTGCTTGGGTTCATGCAGCGAAAGTTCTTCTCGAGGTTGAAGATGAGGTTTTCCTCAATCCACGAACGCATAAGAGGACCCAACGTACTCGTGACGGGAAGGGGGTCGATCAATGTAAGGTGGAAGGCACCACCGGCAGCGAGGCACCGGTGAACATTTTTGAGGAGACTGGGAACTTCAGGCGATGGCAGAAGCGCCGGCAGTGCCAACGAGTAGACTATGCCGAACAGGGATGGGGCCACTGGGAAGGCTGATGGCGAAATGGCAGGTACATTAACCGGGTGGATATTTGGAAAGAGTGTGTGAGACAGCGGCAACGAAGCCAGATGGTACACTTGCTTATTGAAGTGGACGGCGGCCAGGTATGAGGTTGTTGCTGTGCACGTTAGTCGGAGTAACCAAAGGTTGAGTTTGTCTCCACTTACCCTGAGTCTCGTAAAGCGCGAGGACCTTCTTCGCCTTGGCAGGAGTAATCTTGTTGGGGTGAGCCTTCGCTTGGTCCCCCTCCACTGGCTTGTCCATGTTGTGCAAAGAAGAAAGCACCCATCTCTTCTTTTCCATCTCAAGCTCCTTATAGAGGCTAGCATCGGTGGTCTCGCCCCAGACCTCTTTCAACCGCAAGAGGCGGATGCTGTGGCTGGCAGCGGCCATCCGCCTGATCTCACGCTGCATCCCGTTAAGATCCATGGACATGGCACATGCGGCATCAAGCTCTGGTGTCTCTTCAATGACTGCCTCGATCACTGGCGTTCGCACTTCCGGAGGTGGGCCGCAGTCCCACGCATCTGGTGGTCTCCAGGAGTCGGGATTGTTCGGCTTGAATGCCATCGACCATGAAGGAACTCGCCGTAATGAACGCTGTGGGCTAGGGTGGCCAGGGAAAAGGTTGACAGGCGAGTCGAGCATGGCCGGTGATATCATAGCTGTTACCGCGGGCCTACATTTTGTCAGTGATGATGCTGTAAGGGGATTGCGAGATACTCACTGCGCCGTTGGAGAACGCGGAGGTGTTGGAGGCTCCTCTTTAACCGGCTCAGCAGTGATGGTTATATGAGAGATCATGCCTGAGATGTCGTTTTCTATCGTCCGAGGCAGGATAGTGACCTCTGTGCTCTTGGTGATAAATGAGGTTGGGCCGAGGGTCTGGACGTAATGCTCTCTCTTTGCCGACGTCGACTCGGCGACCGACGTATTGCATGGAGATATCGGACCACCCACAGAGGTGTCTGTCCACTTGGAGAAAACAGAGTCTAGGAATCCTGAATATCAGTGAGCTGTGGCAAGCTTGTGGAAATGGGCCGGTCTACCTCTGTTGGATGAAATTGGTGAGTTCTGCTGTGACTCGACAGAATGTTGCTCTTGCGGCATGTAAGTGCGTTCGACCGTAGTGACGGGGCTGCATGGGAGCTCCGTGGGTAGTGGCGGTGGCTCCGAGACGGCCGACAATAGCGAGCCTCTGAATGTGCTATCAATGCTCGGGGCTTTGAGAGCGTGTGTGGTGGATGTTTTGGTGCTTGACGGCGTCAGTGTCCTCTTAAGACTCCTAGATCCGAAGAAGCTGAACGGTTTGTTGTCGGACGACGAAGAGCTGCGAGTGGACATGGAGCTCCTAGATGCCCTGGTCTTGTCCTTGTGCTCCCTCTCAACTGCTTTCCTCTCGCGGTGCTCCTTCCTAGACTCCCTGTCGGGGTCCGTCCACACGACTTCCCACATTGCGAGTCCTTTCTCGTCGGTCCAAACAAGAGACGTGTGTTACAACAAAGATCCGAGTGACCAGAGGAGATGTTAGGGATGCTGGATATATACGGCCAGCCCACTTTGGTGCTGGTCGAGACGCAAAACTGTGAGCTTGAACCGGCCGATCAATCGCATGCCCGAAGTTCAGAAAACGGCGTGTTGCTGAATGTTCAGATCCTGTGGGGACCGAGGACGTAGTTCGTCTGATGATTGGTGTTGTGGAAGCGAGTGAGGATGAAGTTAAGATACAGTTGCGGTCGGCGATAGGAAGTCGCAGGGGTGAAAGGTTGAAAAGCTGCGATGACCGACAGCCTGGACCATGGAGGAGAGTCGGTCGAGGTTGAATAGGGAGAAAGATGCAAAAAATTGGATCGACGAGAGTGCCGTCTCAAGGGGGGGGGGGGAGATTCGACAAAGTGAAAAGGGAAGCCGACGTCGGCAGGTGGTGTACGGAGGAGATTGAATGTGGTGGTTGACTAAAGCCCAGGAAAGATGGCCGGAGAAGAAAAGGGCAGTCACGATGTGGCAGAAGGCAGGTGCAGTTCTGATTGAGAAGTACGCTAGTGTATCAGGAGAACCACGCGAAACCTGTATCAATTGGGAAGGCAGGAGACGTCAGGTATAGAATAGAGGCCGGGGGAAGGAAGGACCGAGGGAAGGCGAGGACGAGGACGTAGACGTGGACGCAAAGGTGTGGTATGCGAAGCTGCAGATAGATGGCAGTTGACAGTTGACGTGTGCGAGCGTCGCTTCCGGTTGTCGTCGTGCTTGTGCGGCAGCTGCAGGAGATTCGATACGCGCCGCAGATGCGAAATGCAACGTGAGGGATGACAACTCCAGGTCGAGATCCGGTGCGGCCGACGGCAACAACCTATGGATTTGAAAGTATGAAATGCGCAACCCACAAACGGGCCAGCTTCTCGATACTTGATGAAGAATGGAAAAAATGATACAAGAGCGGGAAGAGTGCGTCAGAGGAGAGTGAGTGGCCCGTTCCGAGAGATTTGTATTTGTACAAATTGGTAATTGATTTCTCTCTTCCAACAGGAACCAGGTTCGACAGTGTGTGATCGTGCGTGTCCGTCTGATTATGTACCGTGTCATGGATAGGATCAGGACACCAGTTGATACTCTTGGGCAAGCAGGTTGGTTAGCAAGCCGAGTCGGCGGTCGATCCAGCTCCAGTATGAATTTGTGCTCCCCGGCTTGTCCATATATCGAATTGGGACTAACACAGCCGGCTTTTTTTGAACCACCTTGGCCTTGGCTCCCCTCTCAATCTCGCCGATAGCCCATGCAGTCATCTGAGATTTTGTGGCGTCCTGCCGGTCGTGGCCCTGGGCCCCCCATCCATCTGGTCGTGCTGGTTTAGAATCATTGGACATTGATCGGCAAGTGTTTTTCATTGTCTCAATCCGTCTTGCTGCCGCGTTGCTTATTCCACCACCACCAGACAAGGGCGTCCCAGCCGGCATCGTCAACTTTGCCCTCGCCCACAGACAAGAGGTGACTGTACGCTCGAACTGCCAGTTGCACCAAGCACAGCAGCGGCGACTTGTGGAAGCCAACGTCAACGGGACGCAACGCGCCGTGCCACATTGGTGGAGGAAATATTGAGATGAATGCCCTTCTTCACGAACCGTTCCGAACCGTCAACGGGTTTCGCATTGTCAAACAGCAGAATTCCCTTGCCCGGCCTCCCTCGACTCCTGGCACGTTGCGACCCTCATTTTTGGCTCGTATGGAACGCAAAAGGGCAGGGAGACGAGGACGTGCTCATTGTGTCCTGCATTGCTGCCCCTGCCTCAAACACTCAAAGACGGCGCCTATGGAAGCTTTCAGCGAAAGGGACGGTGCGAAGCTTACGTTGTCGGCCACATGGCAAAACACATTGCTATCTTTGGGGGCTGTGGACTATCGACAAGTTCGCGCGTCGAGCTGCGTCTTTGTGGGAGCTAGCCGTATCTTTGGAATCCAAATTGCCTGGTGCATACCATTCATGCTGGACGAAAGTGTGCTAGCCATGCGATGGGGAAGCATCGGGGCCGTGTTTGCTTCCGTTCTTGCAAAGTGCCCTCGCACCATTGAAGACAGCTGCAAGCTGCCTTCTCGACTCAAGGCGGTGCCCCTCTCGATCCGCAGCGTAGCGGCAAGACCGGCGGGGAAGCCGTCGTACAGAATCTCTCCATGAGTCCATGACACACGCGGTAGTGTCGTCTTCAGCTGTCAACTGTGCAGTCTGGTAGCTCTGTAGGTCCCGGCAGACCGTCTTACGGGAGGTATCCGTCCATGTCGTCCGGGGATGTCCATGATCCCGGCGAGAAACGGACGATCCGGGCGATATGGTGGCATTGCAGCCTACACAGTACCCGCTCGAAGCGGATTCCAGAGACTCGGACCGGCAGACCGCTTGTTGGGAGCAGAGTGCAGACGATGATGAGGCGTCGTGGATGTGTGTATGTGAAGGGGTCCAGGGGGCCACTGGTCTGGGCAAACGTCAACACTTGAGCAGGGGCTGATAAGTGGCTAGCTACAAAGCCATGGCGGTGGCATCGTAGTCCGATGTTTGGTGTTGGCGTTGGAAGGCTCGCAAGACTGAACCTAAAGGTTAAGAGTGAGATGGAGTGCAAAGCAGGGGACGAGGGCCACTGGGATGTCGTCTGCAAGGTGAAAGAGTCGGGATCACAGATTGGACTCAGGGCGCGGGTGGATCTGCAGGGAGACGGCAATCCGGGGCAGGGCCACCCCTGAGGATTGCGAGATCTAAACCGTCTTGGGGGACAAAGTGGTTCGTGAGTGGTCAGGTTCCAGCTTCCCACTGCAGCGGTGCCGCTAGGGGGCCCGTGTCAGGGGACTTTGCAGTCTGCGGGGCACGTCCTGGCGGCCGTAACTGCTGGCAAGCCTTCCTTACCGCAGTACTTTAGTTACTTAGATGGTAACCTAAGGCACCTTAGTGGCCCAGGGACCACTCACGGCTCAGCGATGGCATCGTCCGGCCAAGCCCAACACGCCCAGGTGCGCCGCGGAGCGATCCGTGCCACCCTCCACCATCCTTTTCGCGGCTCACTTGGCCACTTTAAGCGAGTTTGCCAACCAACGACAATGGAAAGCAAACATATTTTCCCTTTTCTTATTCCAACAAAGACCCAATCCAACGAGGTCTCAAGCAGGTCCCAACTCAATTCCGGCCAGAGTCGGAGGGCCTTTGTAGTCCATCCACTTCCCGTTTGTGCCATTGAGAAGACTGTCTTGACTCTTGAGCCCTTGCTAGATGCGGCATACCTTACCCCCCAAAGGTCCGGTTTGCCAACCATCACCTGCGACCAACTCGAAATTGCCAACGGGCTTGACCACAAACATGTCCCAACATCTCCTAACGGTCTATCCATGGAGACCGGAGGAAGATCGAATCACGATAGCTCCAGCCCAACAAGCACGGAGCACCTCTCCCACGTGGTTTGACATTTTGGCCACGACGCTTCGGGCGTGGCCCAGGACCGACGTTAAACTCTCCGTAGTGCTGGACGATCAAGAAGCGAGCGAGCGAGGAAAAGAGCGGCCTTTTGTAGCAGTGCATGATGCGTAGGCAAGGTACGACGTGCGTATGTCTGAGTCTTCTGGAGCACTGGCCAGTGAAGAGGCCCTCAAGTCAGACTGATGACGGCTGTAGCACACGCAAGGTTAGCCGCAAAAGAGCAAACAGGTGATAGCTAAGCAATGGTCAGCAGGGGCTGATGCGAGAGCAGAACATTGTCACAAGCTCAATTTCGGTACAAGGACGAATTTCCCGCATATGATGCAAAGTACCGGTCACCGACCTTGGCGGTCCTATCAAGGAACTTCGAGACATGTCTCGCTTGCCAAGGTATGCACTGCAGCGGCCGCCTGCAGGCAAGAAATTGGCTCATGGTTGGGTTTCCCGTTGTTATTGGTTTATTATCTGGAAAGACGGCAAAGCTGAGCGGCCAGATGAAGAAAGGAATAGTCGGATAGGCCATTGGCTGCGGCTTGATCGATTATAGGGGACAGAGCTACGATGGCGAACGTTTCTGGACAGGCTTGGGCGATGGAGGGCTTGATTTCAAGGCCGATTGGGCGGTTTCCGATGATGAAGCTATCGCGACGACGTCCAACATCGACGATAAGGTCAGGAAGCAGGCGATTTCAGTGCTTCGTTCGGACGATGGCGTGGTTCTTCGGCAGTCCGAGCGATTGACGAACAAGGCTAAGGCGCGCCTAACCTGACAGCTGGGTCGTAGATTCGTGAGGCGTTGCGCACAGATGAAGTTCGTTTCTTGAGAGGCTCAAGCTAACGTGATGGATAGTATCTTTCACCTTCTGAAAGCCTATCAACTCGTACGAGAGCGTAGACTCGATATCAGTCGTGGCTTGAAAGTTTGGCGCGTAGGCATCGATGATGAGGGCCGGCTCACAGCCCGTCGGCGAGGCCTTGTGGTGAATCAATGGACAAGGCGTTTATCGTTGAAAAAAGCGTCGTCGTTCAGCTTTGGGGACTCAAGCCTTTTGAACATTCGTGGCGTCGAGAGATGGCCGGTTTAGGAGGAGCTCTCTGGCAATGTCCTTTGATGGCAGATTGGCATGAGCACCTCCACGTCCCGGCCGGCGAGTGTAGATCTCCCATGAGGCTAGCGCCTCGCGTCAACGTGGAAGAGACAAGCTGCGCCTATTAGTGGCGGCCTGGAACTTCTCTCATACTCAGGTCTGGAGGCTTAGTCCGCAATGTGGACTTCCCGCAAGACGTTCCCCACCTCCACGCGGCATTGGCGCAGTATAGGTTTTGCTGAGGAAAAGAAAGACTGGTACACCCTCTTTCACTGGCGTACCTCAGAAAGTGGCAGACTAAAGCAGGGTCAACTCGGTGAGGAAAGGTATCCTTCTCGGAAGAGAGGGGAAGAAGAGACATTGGATGTCGTCCAGGAGATGCAGGAGATGTGTGTACCTTAGGCTTGAGCAAGCTTGAGGTAGGTGAGTCCGGTAAGGTAGGTACGATGAGGTCGTTTGCAGGTGTGCAGGTGTGCAGTAGACATGGGCAGGAGCGAGCAAGGATATAATTGATCCTGCCACTTTCGCCCCTTCCACTTCCAGGTTCTTCCCTTCTCTAGGCATTCTATTGACCATTAACGCACCTTCACTTTCTTCTCCAACGGTGCACCTGCCTTCCCTTTCTTCTCTTTTTCCAAGACAGCTCTTTTATCGATCCTTCCCGCAGGATTTGGTCTCGTTGCCAGGCCGTCCCGGGTACCACCTCTTCCAAGTTCCGAATACTGGATTTACCTCAATTCTCGTCACCTCACTTTGCATTCCTTTCTTCCACTCAATCCTTCCCATCTCGGTTCCAACACCCGCCGGACCTCACTTCCAGGTTTTCCTGCGGCTTTCCTCCTTCTTTTTCCTCCTGCCTCCTCGCGGATTGTGTGCCAACCACGTCCCGCCTCGCCTCGTACAGCACTCTGAGACATCTCAACCTTCTTCCTTTGTACTGAGTCCTGTACCACAGCCTCCTCACCACTCGGGCTCCCTACCACACTCACTACCACCTACCTTTCCGAGTCGCCTGGACGCTCGTCCACCGACTCTCCTTCCTCCATCGCTCGCTATGAGCAACGTGTCGACTCACTCCAACATGGAGCGTTTGGAACCCGTCGAGTCGTCCGTTCGTCGATCCGTCATCGGCCGCAAATTCCATGCTATGTGGAAAGCTGTCGATCGCTGCGACAAGCGAATCTCCACGTCCACCTTTGGACGGATCTTCAGACTCGAGGGAAGCGGCCATGTATGTTTTCTCCCCCTGCCTCTGTTGCCGAATTCTCTAACCCCGGATAGCCTAAGGAGATTCCCGATACATCATTCTTTAGGGAGATTCGCGCGGGAGTGACCACCTTTGCAACCATGGCGTACATCATCGCTGTCAATGTGAGTATATATCTTGGATCGATTGTGAGAGTCATGTGCTGATCGAACTAGGCCATCATTCTCTCGCAGACAGGTGGCACTTGTGAGTGCGACTTGGTAAACAGAGCCGACTGCGACAATATCGACAGCTACAAGGCCTGCAAAGAGAGTAAGTCGGCCGAGATCACGCCATGAGCCCGGCTAACCTTGCCAGATGTTCGACTTGACCTGATCACTGCGACTGCTGCCATTGCCGGCCTCGCTAGCTTCATCTTCGGTTTCTTCACCAATCTGCCAGTGGCCCTTGCGTAAGTGTTTGCCTCGTATCCAAATTTGGCCCATACTGACAGAAAGTACAGCCCCGGCATGGGCCTCAACGCATACTTCGCTTTCCAGGTCGTCGGACCCAACGGTTCGGGCAACATTCCCTACCGCGTCGCCTTGACAGCAGTCTTTGTGGAGGGGCTCATCTTCATCGTCCTTGCTCTTACCGGAATGCGTCAGTGGCTTGTCAAGCTCATCCCCGCCACTATCAAGACGGCAACCGGCGTCGGTATCGGCTTCTTCTTGACGGAGATTGGACTTTCTTATTCGGCCGGAATCGGTGCCATTACTGGAGGCTGGAAATCTACTCCGCTCGCCATCGCGGGATGCCCTGTTGAGATGATCGACCCGGACACCCAGATGTGTGCTGGAGGTATCATGTCGAGCCCCAAGATGTGGACGGCAATCTTCGCTGGCGGCCTTGTCACGGCGTATCTGATGTCATTCCGGGTCAAGTATGCCCTCATCATGGGTATTGCCCTGGTGTCCATCTTGTCCTGGCCGTAAGTCATCCGCACTCCGTGACGCGAATTTGCTGACCATTTTAGACGCAACACATCCATCACCTACTTCCCTTACAACGAGGAGGGCGAGAATCGCTTCAACTTCTTCAAAAACGTCGTCACGTTCCATCCAATCGAGCACACCCTCAACGCCCTGGACTGGGATGTGACGAAGAACGGATCTCAATTCGCCCTGGCTCTCTTCACCTTCCTCTACGTCGACATCATTGACGCCACGGCTACGCTGTACTCAATGGTCCGCTTTTGCGGCGTTGTCGACCCCAAGGATGGCGACTTCCCTCGTTCTACCATTGCCTATTGCTGCGACGCGGCATGCATCTCCATTGGCTCACTGTTCGGTTGTTCCCCAGTCACTGCCTTCATCGAGAGTGGCGCGGGTATTGCAGAAGGTGGCCGCACCGGACTGACTTCCATGACTACCGGTCTTTGCTTCCTCGTCTCCATCTTCTTTGCTCCCATCTTTGCGTCTATCCCGCCTTGGGCAACCGGTTGCACGCTCGTTCTGGTAAGTTCCAAAAGGTCCCAAAGGTCTCGAGAGGTGTTCCGGTCTAACTGACGCAGGTCGGCTGTATGATGATTCGTCAAATTACCCAGATCAACTGGCGCTACATCGGCGATGTTCTCCCATCCTTTGTCGTAATGACTTTCATTCCCTTCTCTTACAGCGTCGCTTACGGCCTTATTGCGTAAGTTCTTCTCATGACAACCCTTTTACTATGGCTGACCATCCCAGGGGCGTTTTCGTGTACACTGTTCTTAACGGCCTGATCGCCTTGACTGTTTGGCTGTCTGGGGGTAGAATCGAGCCCCGCGAGTACGATGCGAAGGAATACTGGTCCTGGAGAGGCTCTGGCAAGAAGCCTTGGTTTGTGCGCGCTGTCCGCAACAGCTGCTTCAGCAACGGCGACAACGACAGCAAGCGCCAGTTCAACATGCAGGATGACCACGACAGCTCATACGCTCCGGGTTCGCGCATGGGTTCATCGGACCAAAAGGAGGACGGTGTTCACATGGTGACGATCCCACAGCGTGCGGTCACGCCACGTTCCGTGCACTAAAGAAAAGTACTTGGTCTAGGGTTAGATTCTTCATTTCTGTTACCGGGGAGGCGATCTTCTTGCAAGAATATTGTGCCAGGTCTACTGGCTATATCACTTGAATCAGCTGTCAATGATTGTAGATAGCAATGAGACACCAGCTTTGAATTAATTCCTTTGCCATGATGGTGACATTGGTGGTCTGTGAGTAAGCGATAAGGTACATTAAGCTTGGAGAGTCGGGTGCCCCGGCGAATCTTTGACCCTGGTCCCGTTCCACCGTGCCCCACCACAGCTCCGACCTTGCGTCAACGGTCCAGCGCTTCGTCTGCAAACATTGAAGCTTCAATCTCCAGCTTACCAATTCCAGACCGAGTGCGAAATCCCATTTGACTGTGACGCGAACCACTCAGGCAACTAAGGCGTCTTTCAGAACACTCAAACAACTCCGCGACCAATACCCACCACATTCACAAGTAAATACCCCTCCTCCGCCTCCAAGATGAGTGGTGGATGGAATACCAGTATGCAGCCCCCGAAAGCAGCTTCAGCCAATTGTCTTTGCTAACTGTTGCAGTCGAGTCCGATGCAGTACGTGACTCCACCGAATTGAAATAGCGCCAAACTAACCGCCCAGGGCGTCTTCACCTACCTGCTCGAGAACCTCGGTGTCAAGGGTGTTCAGTTCGAAGAGCTGCTCACGCTCTCTCCTGATGAGCTAGCGCCGTTGCAGCCAATCTACGGCATCATCTTCCTCTTCCGCTACCCTTCCGAAGGCCTGCCCGCGCGGCCAGCAGACTCCTACGACCGCGATGCCGCCGAGAGCCTCTTCTTCGCTCAGCAGACCATCCAGAATGCCTGCGGCACGCAAGCGCTGCTGAGCGTCGTTCTAAACAAGACCAACGAGGTGGAGATTGGCGAGAAGCTTGGCGAATTCCGTGAATTCACCATGGTCCTGCCTCCTGAGTTCCGCGGTGAGGCGCTCAGCAACTCTGAGCTCATCCGCGATGTACACAACAGCTTCGCCAAGAGCAGTCCCTTTGTCGACGAGACGCAGAAGACGGGCGAGGCTGAGGATGCCTTCCACTTCATCGCTTACACGCCCATCAACGGCAAGCTGTACGAGCTGGATGGACTGCAGCCTGCGCCTATCTCGCACGGCGCCTGCACGACTGAAGAATTTCCGGCCAAGGTGACGCAGGTTCTGCAGGATCGCATGCTTACGTACGCCAGCTCTGAGATTCGGTTCAACGTGCTGGCCATGGTGCGCGACCCGAGGATCGCGGCTAAAGAGATTGGCGATTCCGAGACCCTGGAGCGAGAGAACGAGAAGCGTCGCAACTGGAGGTTCGAGAATGCCCTGCGTCGACACAACTTCGTTGGCTTCGCTGGCGAAGTCCTGAAAGGCGTTGTTGCGCAGAAGGTTGAGGGCGGCGATGCGGCATACGATGCCTGGATCAAGGAGGGCCTCGAACGGAGGAAGAGAGATGAGGACGCCGTGAGGTTGAGACGGAAGATGGGTGGCGGCGGTGACGACGACGAAGAGATGATCGGTTAAACGTGTCAATGATACCATGAATAGAAGCGAGATTACGTTTGGGTTCAATCTGGAAAGATATCTACGGACCGTGATAGGAAAAGAAGCCACCGAACACAACTTGTGCCTGGCCTGGAAGCCGACTTGGCCATTTCTTTGATTCGGTTCGTTTGGTTTGGTTTGCTTTATGTCCCACCCCCAGATTATTCCGCGAAAACAAGTTTGTACTGACAAAGCTGATTGACGGCAGACATTCGGTGGGCACCGTCGCCTTTGTGAGCAAATGTTCAATTCGCCCCGGATCAGTATCATCCTCTCGAGGTTGATTGAGGCTCTGTCTGCCACCCTCCGCGCCCACGCCTGTTCCCAGGCCCTATCTAGTGCTACATAGCAAATCACTATCATAGCTTTGTTGACTATATACAGGCTGTCGACCTATCATCTATCCGAGTCCTTTTAGCCTCGACATCGGTGAGCGACCCAGGCGGCGAGAGCTGCTATTTCACCCTTCCTCCAGGGTCGGCTCGACAACCCAATTGTTTTCACCCTACTTCCCCGTAATGGAACACATATGCAGCCCTCTTTCACCATCAGACAAGTTGTTTAATCTGGCTCTTTCCAGATCAACTCACCTTTCACTTCCACCCCTCAACACCGCCATACTTACCTGCCCATCCACACTCAGCAACGATGGGTAGAGTCAAATCAGAGCAGCCCACCGGCAAAAAGGCTCAAGCCAACGGCCGAGACCAGCGCGGTCGCGGTGGCCGTGGACGCGGACGTGTCCAGCAGGATCGAACCCATCGCATTCCCGAACCCTGGTCAGCTCGTGACGATTACGCCCTCGGACGTCTTCACTCCCCCGTCCCCGCCCCCGCCCCCGAGCCCTGGGTCTCCATGGGAGACCTCGACAGAAACCTCCAGACGTGGATGAGAGAGGGACAGCGGGACGAGATTCTGTCCAGATGGGGCCTGGGACCTGGCGAGTACGACATTCTCGAGGACCGCGTCCTCGCTGACATTGTGGCCAAATGGCCCGACGCGACCGTCGCCCTGCTCTACGACAAGGCGCAGGAGGCCAAGGAGCACGTCTACCGCCACTTTGCGGGCCAGGGCAAAGTCCGCATCAGTCTCGAGGCGAGCGACTGGCTCAAGCTTGAGGGCTTGTGGAAGCTTATGGGTAGGTCCACCTACTGATTTACGGGGGAGAGGACTGGTTGTTGAAGTGGAGAGAAAACCCGTTGCTGACATTGGAATTTCTTCGCAGACAAGGCCCACAGCCACGAGGAGCGCAAGTACGTGTTCGACTACACGTACGGCCAGATCCGCTTCTTCGACCGCGGTTTGATGGATAAGCAGTATGCCTTCTACTTCAAGAAGTACGAGCACAAGCGTCCCCGCGCCCAGGACGTCGCTCCGGCTGCTGCCGCCGCCGCTGCCCCGATCGCTGCCCGCCCGATGTCGGTTCCCCCCGCCGCCGCTGGGACCTACCTCATCCGAGAGCAGGCGCACATGCCGGCGGCCTGTATGGCGGCGCCCGGTGGTCCTCCTCCTACTGCCCAGGGTGGTGGTGGTTGCTCTACCGGCAACCACGGTCCTGGATCCTTCGTCCCGATGCATTCGCAGGGACCCTGTATGATGGGAGGAGGAGGAGGAATGGGCCAGCCGGTCGTCCACGGAGGTACCGCTGGACACTTCTACCCTGCGCCTCAGCATCATCATCATCATCCTGGAGCGCAGCCGGGACCTGGCATGGGCTATTACTAAATTGATCCTAATGTTGGAGAGAGATCAGGCAAGCAAGCAACACTGGATGGATTTGATGTGGTGTTGTTGGTTGGCTCTGGATCTTCATTGAGATGGATGGGTTTAGGCGACGTCAGGAAGAAGGATGGAGGATGAAATGGATCGACTTTGTTCCTAATCTGGTTGCGGCCATGGTGGATGGACGCAGTGGTATCTTGTCCAAGGGTAGTAACTGAATGAGGATACCCCCATGAACCGTAGCTGAAACTATGCAAACTTGATCATGTGAGTCTGTCACTGTGTGGGAGATTGGGGCGATGTCTGCCTTCCAATGCCTCTGCCACCCAGCTCCTTGTTACTCGATATGATTTAGACGCTCGTGAGTTTTTCCATCATAAGTGCTTCCATCGTCGCGCAGTTATTCATCTATAATTTGGTGGATGAGACTGTGCGGTGATGGTACTCATTGCTAGATATCGCTGGCCTCCGTACGATCTCGAATCATCTCGAATATAAGACATTTGACGGAAGATCATCGCAATAGCCAAGATGGCTGGTCACCGTGGTAGTCCTTCTTCATATCACATCCCAATTACCAGAAACTCTCATGGATGAAGTCAAATTGATCGAAGACTATTCACGTCCGCACATGGACGATTGCATCGCAGGAGTATGGGCTGTTGACGCAGGTTGCAAATATGTTTTCTACAAAAGGGACTTAATCATTATACTCCTCACAAAGTTCCATTCCAAGCCATTTCTCATCTTGCCAAAACTTCACAAAAGCAAATTTGGTGCGTCCCAACACTTCATGACCCCACCTTCTGTGACTCGAAGTCCAATTCCTCCAGACTCTCAGAAGCCGAAATCCCCCCATCTTCCATCCATGACGTTCCATCCATGCTGCCTTTGGTCTTCCCAGATCAAGTCTCTATTCTGCGAGATGGTTTCCCAATCCCTAGTCGCTGGGTCCACCTCCAGGCTACTCTGGTTTCCAGAATCCTTGGAGTAGTCGTACGTGAGCCAAAACTGCTTATTGACGTCTTTGAATGTGTTCTTCCAGACCTCCATGGCAAAAGATTTCGTCCAGGGATAACCCACTGGATTCTGCATGTATATTCTCTCATGACGGTTCCCACGGGGGTCAGCAAGATCGACCCAGGCAACCCTGGTCAGGATCGGTGGTTTGTTTGCGCGTCGAGCAATCAGGACATGACGAAGTAATTCCAGCCGCGGGAACTTGTATCTATTTTTCTTGAAGGCCTCGCAATTGCCAAGGCGATGCTCTGTTGTGTTGCAGATGGGGCATCCGTCAATGTCGCCGAATGGGCCTGGCCAAATGCAATCGATCAAGCCATGGCCGAGAGCTGAGCAGTGCCCGCAGATGACGTTGGCGTTTCTTTCGTCGCGCTGGAGAGATCGTTTCCTGTCATGGGTATGTGGGCGACAGGGTCGGGGGTCCGCTTCGGAGGTGCCCAGCCCGACAGCGGACGACGAGGTGAGAAGATTTGATGGCCCTGATTCGACGAGCTCTGGTGTGGAACAGCAAAGCTTGTGCTGTTCTTTGTCTTCAGGGCGCTCTCATGTTCAGCTCTCATCGAAGAGTCGTTTATATGACTATTGCATGGTTAGCGGATCGCCTTTCTGCTTCTTATCGGGGCGGCACGAACCGAGACTCATCTTGAGTGCCCTTACTATTCTCCTCGATTCTCGAGTCGGCCAGCTCTGCTGACGGTCCACCAACTCGATATCCCGGCTTGGTCTTCCAGTAAAGCAGGAACCATGTGTCCCCTGGATTTCCAAACCGGTCCCAAAGAAAGTCTTCATGTTGAGTGAAAAATTTAATCTGATCCAATCCGTCCATTCCACTCTGTTGCAGTCGGACTGCTGCTCGTATATATGTGACCCGACCGCGGTCATCCATATCACTGTGACTTTTGGTGATAAGGCATCTGTCTCTGATGCTAAAGATGTGCAACCCGTCAGACGCAGCCCGTTGGCCGTAGGCAGAGGAATACTCCAGGCGGAGAAATTCCGGATTGCTGCGGTATCGATTGTCTTTCCCAATTACTCTGTCGAGTTCCTGATCAATCAGGGCTCCGAGATTGAAAGGGGCTGAAGCACCCGGTCGTATGACGGTGAACGTGCCGCTCATAGAATTCCCATGGCTCAATGATGCCGAGTTGGAGGAGATGGGATCGAAGCAGAAACAATGCTCAGGTCTGGCCCAGAGCGTAGAGTACAAGGAGTCTGATGAGACTAGTTCCGCGAATGATGGTCCATTACCCAACGACAAAGCCTCAAGAATCTTGACCGCAGCTCTGACATATTCCTCCTCGCCTTCTTCAAAACTGAAGTCCAGCCATGCGTGGCGCATCAGTGAGTTCTTCTCCTCCAGCTGTCTCATGGGGTTGTCGGCGGTTCTTGCTTCCAATGAAAGACAGGAGTTGATCATCTTGATGATCACGGTTAGGGAGGTTAGCCCGCGTATGTTGGCCGGCTCTTGTCGATACATCAAACCACTCGACAAGTGGCTGAGAAGTAGGTAATTTTGTAGCGCTCGGTCGTTCGTTAAAGTACGTATGTCCGTCATTTTTGAACGAAGTCTTGGCGTCGATCTTCAAATATCGAATTTTGTTGATTCAGGGAGGAGCGAAGAGGAGCCGAGGGGGCCGAATGACAGATTGAGAGGGTAAAAAAGTGTGGCGCATCAGTTTGGAGGTATAAAAAGAAATTCAAGCGATTTTACTACTTCGGTGGTGAGAAGACATCAGAGGAAGGAGCCCAGTCCTCATTACGGTCTGCAGTCACCTGACCACAAGACTTCTTTCTTTGGCATCGTCCCTTCCAAATTTCGAAGCTGCAGCATATGTCTATTGGTACTTCGAAATACATAACGCATATACCGTCAGGATGAACAAGATAAATTTTGAAGAGTGCGTTCCATGTGATGCGGAACTTTGCGAGATGAACTCAAGCCCTTCGACATATCCTACAGTATCTCGTGTAAGTAATGCGCTTCATCTCGTTTCAAGACAAAGATAGAAACACACATGTGTAAGGGAAAGTTGATAATAAGCTGCCAGGCCGTCAAATCAGAGGCCGGAAATGTGAGGGCGACCTGTCAACACAACACATTGGAAGTAAGGCTGACTGCTCGTTGGAGTTCGAAAATGGCGGCCAGGAGTACGATCAGTGTTTGCGAAGGCAACTATATTAACAGTAACGACGTAGGGAAACTAGATTACAATAAGCCCTCTCATTGACAGATTATTCAAGTGGAGGCTTTGAAGATGACCCGAACAATACCAACACAACTCGTGGTTGGCTATCGTCTTCGAAATTTTCCACCGAACAAACCATAAAAACAGAGACCATGCCTAATGTTGACGTCTTTAGCGAATTGAGTCAAGCCTGAAACGCAGACATCGCCCGAATCGCCAGAACCTTGTAGTCAGAGCAGCACTTCGGAGTCCATTCCGACAGAGCTCGGGAGTCCTCGTCGAAGCGTCTCTGCCATTGGACCTCTTCAGAGGTCTCGAACATGCCGCTCGATGGGCTCGAAGTCTTGTTCTGGATCTCGTATCCCGTGTCGGGAACATCGGAAAACAACAACCGGTTTTCGAACCAATCGGTCTCCGTGTACAAGTTGGGAGACGCTGGATATTGCTCCGCGACGTACATCTTGATAAACTTCCGCACCTTCCTCCAGTTCAAGTCGCCATGCGTCTTGGCTACGTTTTCCACGTAGCTGGTCAACTTCAACGGGGGCTGTCTCCCCGGGATCTTCGTCGAGAAGTCGACGAAAGCTGAGATGCCCGGGTACTCGGTCCATCGTGAGTTCTCGCGCGTCTCGAAGTCGAGGATGCGGTCAATATCGACCCAATCCATGACGGCGAAGACGGCCGAGGTCTCGTAGGGACACTTGATGATGGGGCCGGTTGATTTGTGGCCGTTGAAGAGTTGTCTCCATGTCTGACTCTCCATCTTCCGACGCTTTTTCTCGATCTCCTGGGAGTATGGGGCGTAACGCTTGACGATGTAGTCCTTGGCCATGCACTCCCACTTCAGGCCCGCTGCTTTATGGCGTCCATCAATGCGGATGAGGGACTCAGTCTCATGGCGGCCGTGTTTCACTGCGTCCAGGGCAGGGCCCGTCAGATCTGACAGAGGCGAGTAGACGGACTCGGAACAGAGGTGGTGAAGCCGCTCAGCGCGGGCTCGCGTTGCCTGGCTCATGAAGTGGCCCGACTCATTCTCGGAGAGAATGTGGGCCAGCCAATCTGTCGCTTCCGCAGCCCTGGGAGACGGAAAGTCTCCCGAGGGCCGCGGGGTGTATGCCAGAGCATTTTGGAGATTGCCCATTGTGAAGTCGATGCGGTCGTTGGATTGGGTGGCCATCGTGATGAATTTGACTGGTAGATGGCGTCGTAGGAGTATTGTACGGTAAATACGAGAAAGGAGGTTGGAAGGATTGAGTGAAGACGAGAAAAGGGATTAGATGAGAAGTAGGAGAATTGGAGTGCTATAGGAAAAAAAAACCCGACTATTGGGGAGAAACATGATTATATAAAGACAGCAGGGGGATATCTCCGTTTGGCATCTTGCCTTTGGCTGAAGGGGTCGAATGATACGCACATCTAAAAGGTTAACGAGCTACCATCCCTCGCATCTCCGATTGCCTTGCGGACACCTCGATGATAGAGTTTGGCCTATGATTTGATTCATGTTTTCAACTTCAATTCTGGGTACCGGCGATAGACAATACTATACATCTGGTTCTCTGTACTAGCTATAACAGCGCTCATCTTCACATAGCCAGTGGGCCCAGAGAAGGGGATGTTGCACTCCCGAGGCTGAGATATTTGGACTGATGTGAGGGGCTGCTCAGCCTCCGTGGAAGGCGCAGAGCTTGGAAATGTTGTTTTTAGTAATATACAGACTGATATTCCGATAGAAAAGGCGGGAGGAAGAGGAACTGGGACATAGGACGCTGCAGACGCCGAGAGGGAACGTGAGATATCTCTGCCGTAGGAACCCGAACCTTGGGCCAAACTTTGAGAACGAACATGAATGTCGTCACGGAAAGGGCTGTTATTCTCGCTATATATGGGCAAAACAGTGACTCAAAATCCACAAATGCCATACATTTCCAGAGCCAGTGGCTACGGTGATTTCAATTCAGGGCGATGGATAATTGGGGTGCTCATACCTGGAGGTTGAGTGAGGTTGAATTGAGATACGGCTACATAGATATACGCCCCACTCTATGCGACAAGAAGACTATATTCATCAATGCAAATTTGATGCAGGAGTTTCCCAGAATCCCTGCAAGCTCGCTCCGACAATAAGAAGATCGCGGAAAGCATCTTTATCACAATGCTACCGAGACGCGTGCCATTGAGTCTTTTCAGGCGAACCAAATCGTCGTTGTGCCGCGCCTACAGCTCTAGCCACGCTATCAGAGGTGCGTTTCCAACCAAACCCCATCTTTACTTCATCCTAGGTGCATCAACTAACCCTCTCCGTAGAGCACGATGTAGTAATCCTACGCCAACGAGGGACCAAAGAGCCCAAATTCCACCTCTCGCCTCCTCTCCGACCGGACGCGGCGATCAAGCTTTCCTACGGTAGCAAGGTAAACGCCTCCGACATCATCGGCAAGTCCTTTCTCGATTCGATCAAGGACAGCGGCGGCCGCAATGTGCGACTCCTCGAGGCGTCGCTCGGGCAATACGTCGCCAACTCCCCGCGCGTGGCGACACCGGTATGAAACGACTTCTTCCCAGGACCTGAACTATTGAGAAAACAAGAAAAGTTGGTCGACAAAGACTGAAACGCGCCATGCGGCAACTCTCGGGCTAGATCTATCCCCAAGACGCCAACCTCATCGTGTCCTTCCTCGACCTGAATCTTCCCGTGCCCGGTGAGGACCCGGACTTTGACGCCGGCCCGCCCGTCGAGATCTTCGAGGCCGGCACGGGCATGGGCGCGCTGACGCTGCACCTCGCGCGCGCGATCCACGGCGCGAACCCGCCCTTGCCGCCGCGCCTCCGTGACGCACTTTGCACAGCACCGTACGCGAGGAACACCCTTCGGAAGGAGGTCGCGTCGGATGAGGCTGCGGAGGAGGAGGGGGAGAAGGAAGTGCACAAGGCAGTACCACACGCCCTCGACATCGAAGATCCGGAACTCGCGGCGATGTACAAGGAGCACCTGGCGAGTCGCAGGGCGATCCTGCACACGTTGGACGTCAACCCGACATCGAGCCGTATGGCGCACGGCCTCGTTCGGCACTTCAAGAGGGGCCTGTACCTCTCCGACGTCGACTTCCACGTCTGCACGATCCGGTCGTACCTCGCCTCGCGCCTCACCGAGAACGGAGGCGAGGCTTTCCTCTCGCACGTGATCCTCGACCTCCCGGCCTCGCAGGAGTACGCCGAAATGGCCGTCAAGGCCCTCCAGCCCGACGGGAAAGTCGTTATCTTCTTCCCATCTATCACGCAGATCCTCGACTTTGTCGTCTGGGCCAAGGACACAGAACAGCCGCTGGTGCAGGACCGTGTCGTGGAGCTGCAGACGTCGACATCGGGCGATGACATGTTCCAGGACGGCACGGGCGGTCGGAACTGGGACGTCAAGGTTGTGAATATTCGCAAGGCGATTGAGAGGGGTGAGACCGGTACGGCGGCGAGGGGGATTGTTTGTCGGCCCAAGGTCGGATCGCGAGTTGTCGGGGGCGGCTTCGTTGCGGTGTTTACAAAGCTGCCTCCGACGGTTGCCAAGCTAGAGGAGAGCGCGGATGAGGTTGTAGCTGTTCCTGAGATTACGTCTGTCCCCGAGACCGAGGTATTGCCTGAAAAGGAAGCGCCAACAAGCTCATGAGAGAAAACTTATAAACAGGACAGCAGTGGAGGAGAAGAAGGCGAGCTGCCCGGGTCTTCAGATTGTTTTTTCCCGTTCCCCTTGTAGGATATTTGTATTATAGCTGTGTACATTAAGGCGCCTTGATAAACCCCATAGAGAAGAGTCACATAGAGATAACAAAAATGTATACCTGATGGAAAGAGAGATTACGAGACTGAGATTCGGACGTCGGCAGAGTAAAAGAGCAAAAGATAGAGGAGGTGAGCCGATCCCCTGGGTTCTCGCCTACATCTTCAAGGGCAGGATGCCATCTGAGTGCAAAACAAAACATACAACACCAGGTATTCGCTGGTCGTCACCGACCCAACTACTAGTCCGGCCCTCATTGGCTTATCTATGGGAGAGCGGACGGGATCCCGAGTTTTCCAATGGGTATGGTCGTATGTGAGGGTTTGGTGATGTCAAGTTGATCATATCGGGATTGAGACGCTTGGAACCTCTCAGCCCATCGCGGGTCTGATCTCAATACATAACAACTAGAACTAAAAATTTCAGGTTTCATTTAGTCCTCCTTAGGAAAGAATATCATTATGTACTTAAACGAGGTCCTCTACGCCTTTAGAAGCACAACATGGCGTTGCGAAGTAAACATCCCGAGTATCCAGAGTTTTACATGATGGTGTTGGAGATCACAGTACAAATACAGTGCGCATGCACTTTCCGGCACGAATCCCTCTACTCCACACTTCATGGCGTTTACATCTCCAACCTCACTCGATCAACTCCAAGCAACATTTCTTACCCAGCTGAATCCAATCTCACCAAAAACTTGCAACATGGCTTCTGCGGGTACTGTCACGCAGCTCTCGATTCCGCTGCCTCGCTCCCTCGACACCCGCATCCATATTCACCTGAGCACCAAGGCCAAGGTGGCAACCCTCTTTCTGACCTCAGTGACGCAAGACGAACAGTCGGGGCCAGCGGCACTTGGCTCGTTCGTATACGCACTACCAAACGTATTTTCATCCCACATGCTACCAAAAGACTGGCAAACCTACCAATACGAGATTTTTTGAGCTGACACACAAACAAAGAGACTTGAGCCGGCTCAGCCCATCTCAACAGCCATTTACTCGGTAGAGTCGACGCTGGAGTTCACGACGCGGATGGCCAAGCTGCTAGCCAAGAGAGCCAACATGCCCGTCTACGTCGGCTGCTCCATCAACCTGGGCGGCGCGGCCATGAGTCTCTCGGTGGAGGAGGAGATGGAGGCGTTCCGGGCCATCGTCGACGTCGTCACGGCGAAACTCAAGGGAGAGCCCTTGGTCAACGGTGCTTGAACACACGCACACCCAACTCTCAGTAGTGATATTCTGGTGCAAGGGGGTACTGGTCTGGGAACTTGCGTCACACAGTTCCAATTCTCCCGCCCTTTGTTTACCGCATTTGATCGACCGCCACTGCAATCTTTGGAGGGAGTGGGAGCGGGAGCGAACGGGGCGAGGCCCTCGCTGCTTGCGACTTCCTGAAGCGGACTGGGTGACAGTCACACAAGGGCTTGGGGATGTTGGACATGCGGCGTGCCGGGCTCACGAGGAGGCCCCGGGGTCTGGACGCGGCGGACCGAGGGGCGATGTCCCACATGTGGCTTCGGGCCGTTCGGCTGCACATACGGGGTTGCCGGGCTGAGTGTGCAAGAGGGAGAAGAGGAAGGAGAAGCGCATCATCGCGAACCGGTGAGAAGGCTGTACAGCGCGACGAATGTTCAGGGGACGACCATGATGACCCAACGTCATAGACAACAAGGACCGCCATCTCTAAGTTTTACACGAGGCTGCGCTCGAGGTTGCTATGACAGCATGTGCAAATAATGCAAGTGACCTAGATGGAAGTTTGGCAGACGACATCTCAGACCATGGCGTCCGGCACCTACAAAATTCTTGAAAACTGATCTCATAATTGCTGGTTCTCATGGTCCGACGTTCTGACTTTCTTCTGGAATCTCTGGAAGGTGTTTGCTCTCCGAGTCTAGAACGTGGCTAAGACGTGCCCGAGCAATCTGAGCTGTAGTCGTCCGTTGATTTCGGCCACATGGTTCTCATTTAAGATTGTTTTGTCCTGTTTCGTGGTAGAAGTTCGGCTCATTGTTTTGTTTCTTTCTTGCCTTTCCTTTTCTCTTCTTCTCTTGTGGAAGAATACACCCGTAGAGTTGAGGCACGGGACGCGCTCTGACAGGGGTCACAGGATCTGCACGTAATACCTTGAACCTGGGGACCTCGACTGGTAGTTCAATGACCTTTGCAGAGGCGGCGACTCAGCAGTGATGAATCGCGAAGGAAAGAAGTCTGTGAACCTGTGCGGCTCAGGATTTTGGGTCGACAACCCACCCCTTTGCCAGACGCAGAGAGAGTTGCCATTGTAAAGTCCACAGTCCAGAGGGGGGCGGGTAGTGGGCGGGAGTACCCCTTGCGGCTTCAGGTTGAACCGTCGGGGTTTGATCCTCGCCTCCTTTCCCCCTGTTTAAGGATTCAACTGACCCAGAGTTGTCTAGGGGACAGCAACTGTCTACAGTGTACGATTAGCGATAGGAGGATGTTGTCACTTGCGGTGTGCACCAAAGAATGATTCCTGAGGCCTGTGCGACGTTTGTGGAGTCCCACCGCATTTTTGGCAACGTCAAGAAGAGAGAGAAAAAGATGCAAGCCAATGCCCGTTCTCAAGAGGCTAGTTGATAGTTGCAGGGGTCGGTCAAGGTCTCTTCTTTTACGTGTTCCATGTCAGTTGTCGTAGACTATACCCTGAGAAGATTTACTACTTCATGACTTTCCACTCAACGCCAAATGCTGGACTGATGTTGGTTGTGCTCGCGAGGCGGCAAATCGAATATGTTGAAAACTTTCTTTCGAATTCCAGCGCTGAGGCACAATGGCAAGAGCAAGCGTGACCCACGTGCCGTCTGAGATAAAAGTGAACCCTGGCAGGAACGACAGACTTTATCGACATGGCGTGGTGGGGGAGAGCCTGCCGTGCCTGCCCCATCGGTCGACGCAGTAGGAACGAGGGGTAGAAAGCGCACGGGCCATAGAGTAAAGGTACTGCAGTCTACGAGTGGAAGACAGGAATCCATTTGTCCACAGTTCCATGAGCTCAAGATTTTTTCTCCTCATGGTGGGCAGCACTGCAGCTTGTGGAAGGACCACAAGGACCTGGACCTGGACTGGACGGAGTGTGAGACCGACACACATCCTACATCGGCGGAAGGACCGACCAGCAGGACGGGCCACCTTCCATTTTACACATTTCCTCTGCCGTTTGCAACCGTCTAACTCCCGTCCCCTACCGTATCGTTTTCCCGCTTTCTAAATGCCTGCCATTTTAGACGTCCTCCATGCATCCCATCGGATTATTCCTATCGCTTCTGCCCCCAAACCCCAACACCATTCACATACCCACTGAACAAGTTGTGGACTTGAATGTCACAGCCTGCTTTCTCATCATCGAGTGGTGAATAGGTATCCGTACATGCAATTCCGAACATATCTGCCCGAATGCTGGAGACAACGAGGAGAGAGGCTTGTGATTAGAGAGGAGAGGGCAGACAGTTGATACGCACATGTTCTTTCACACGACATTGATACACAGATGACAGCTCAGCACATTAAACTTTTGTATATTCATCGCCACGACTGTTGGGATGGACAGACCTCAGAGAGAGAAGACTACACGGCACGGCTAAAATTAGGACTCGCCATACTTGTAACTCGCACATGTGCGTCTGAGGTGCCTTTGCCTCTTCCCCCCTCCTGACCACCTTTCCTTGCCTGCCTCACCTGCTCAGGTCATTCGAACGGAAAAGAGACGCCTCCAACCGCTCGTCTCGCCAACAGAAAGCAGACATTTGGGGGCCAGCGCACCTACTGTATAGATACCTTAGCTACCTTTGCGTCAAGGTAACATAATACTGAGGTGAAAGCTGTAGTGCGGCGTGCCCTCGCTACGACTACCTGACCTTATTACGGCGTACCGTCCACGGTACGGGCCCAGATGCGCTACGACGGACCACTAGCGCTGCGACTCTGTGCTTCTTGGACCAGGGACCTTCACTGATCCCACCTTTGCCCAAGGTACCTTCTCTCAAGTCGCATTTGCCCTTCTCCGTCCGCTCGAAATACCACGGCCAAGGTACCTTTGGGAGGCGGTCTCGTGCAGAGGTACCTTACCTATTACCCGCTACTCCGCCGCACCATAGTTATCGCGAAAAAAAAGCTGACAGGCCGACCCCACCATTTCGCCAGTCAGTGTGTTGCCAGTCGCCAATGTCAACGCCCACTGCCCTTACTACCGACCGTGGCCCTGGCCGAACAACTTCAACGACTGCCCCTCTCTACCCTCCCGCCGTGCTCGACAACCACCCGACCGATCGACCTCACACCATCGCTCCGTCGCTCGAATCCTCCCCCGATTCTCGACCACCTCACAAGTCGCCAGTTTTGGTCTAACATCTTTTCTTCCAAACTACCCCCAGAAAGGCGCCAGTCATGGCCTGGCAGCCGGCCCCAGAGTCCTTGAGCCAGCTGGCTGCTTGCCTCAAGGACTCGCTCAGCGGATTCGACAAGAATGCGCAGAAGCAGGCAGAGATCGTGAGTTGCCCACCATTCGCCCCCTTCGCCCATTGCGACCCTTGCTAACCGCCATTGATGCGCAGATGCTCACGCAGGCCAAGGCCTCTCCCGACTTCAACAACTACCTCGCCTACCTCTTCTCCAGCGCTGATCCTCCCCAGGGTGTACAATGCTCAGCCCAAGACTTCCACCTCGTGCGCTCTGCCGCCGCGATTATGCTGAAGAACAACGTGCGCACCAGCTACAAGCAGATCCCCGAGAACAGCCTGGCCCTCATCAAGATGGCCGTTCCCCTCGGTATCCAAGACAAGAACTCCCAGGTCCGCAACTACGCCGGCAACATCGCGACCGAGATCATCAGGAGAGGTGGTATCTTGAGCTGGCCTGAATTGCTTCCCCAGCTGCTCAGCCTTATTTCCAACGAGAATGGTCAGGTTTCCAACGAAGGCCAGGAGGGCGCCATGTCCGCCATGGCCAAGATTTGCGAGGACAACGTCAAGGTTCTGGAGCGGGAGCACAACGGTCAACGCCCCCTGAACTTTTTGCTTCCCAAGTTTATCGAGGCCACTAAGAGCGAGCTGCCCAAGGTCCGCGCAAAGGCCCTCACTGCCATCAATGTCTTCACCCCGCGCAAGTCCCAGGCCATGCTCAACAACATTGACAGCCTCCTGAACCACCTCTTCATCCTGGCTGGCGACCAGCACCCCGATGTGCGCCGCCAGGTGTGCCATGCCTTCGTCCAGCTGGTCGAGACTCGCCCCGACAAGCTGCAGCCCCACATTGCCGGCCTTGTCGACTACATCATCACCCAGCAGAAAAGTGACGACGAAGATCTAGCGTGCGAAGCCGCTGAATTCTGGCTGGCTGTGGGCGAGCATGAGGACCTGTGGCGCTCCCTGACGCCCTACCTCGACAAGATCATCCCCGTATTGCTGGAGTGCATGGTATACAGTGGGGAGGATATTGCCCTTCTCGGTGGTGCATCAGACGACGAGGAAGAAGAAGACCGTGAGGAGGACATCAAACCTCAATTCGCCAAGAAGTCGGCGGCCAGGGGTAAGGGTGGCGAGGCCTCAGCCGACACCGCCCAGAACGGAAATGCCTACGAGAAGCTGGCTAGCATGGATGATGATCTGGAAGAGGGTGAGATTGACGACCTTGACGATGGCGATGAGAACCCCGACGAACGCTGGACCATCCGCAAGTGCTCCGCCGCTGCTCTAGACGTCTTTGCGCGTGACTTTTCCGACCCCGTCTTCACTGCGATTCTGCCGTATCTGACGAGCAATCTGAAGCACGAGGAGTGGCAATACAGAGAGGCCGCTGTCCTCGCTCTCGGCGCAGTCGCCGAGGGAACCATCAACGCCGTTACTCCCCACCTGCCGGAGCTCGTCCCTTACCTCCTGTCACTTCTCGGAGACAACGAGCCCATTGTCCGGCAAATTACCTGCTGGACGCTCGGCCGCTACTCACAGTGGGCTGCGAACCTCGACCAGAACCAAAAGGTCACCTACTTTGAGCCCATGATGGAAGGCATCCTCCGCAAGATGCTCGACAAGAACAAGAAGGTCCAGGAAGCTGCGGCATCCGCTTTCGCTAACCTTGAAGAGAAGTCTGGGAAGGTCCTCGAGCCCTACTGCATCCCTATTCTGCAGCAGTTCGTCCAGTGCTTTGCCCGGTACAAGGACAGAAACATGTACATTCTGTACGACTGCGTCCAAACCTTGGCGGAGAACATTGGACCCGTTATTGCTCAGCCGGACGCTATGAGTCTGCTGATGCCGGCCTTAATTGAACGCTACCAAAAGGTCAGCGACGATTCGCGCGAGCTCTTCCCCCTGCTAGAGTGTCTCTCTTACGTTGCCATGGCGCTGGGCTCTGCCTTCACCCCCTACGCGCAGCCCATTTTCGTAAGATGCGTCAACATTATCCACACGAACCTCGAGCAAAGTCTGCAGGCCACCAACAACCCAACACTCGACTCCCCAGACAAGGACTTCCTCGTCACTAGTCTCGACCTGTTGAGTGCTATTATTCAGTCTCTGGAGGAGGACAAGAAGCAGGAGCTGGTCAGGGGCTCAGAGGGAACATATTTCGAGCTTCTCGGTTTCTGTCTCGAGGATCCTCAGGACGACGTTCGGCAATCAGCTTACGCTCTGCTGGGAGACTGTGCGAAATACGTCTTCCCCCAGCTTGAGAAGCACCTCAACTCCATTTTCCCCATCTTGCTGAAGCAGCTGGATCTCGACAACATTCTCGACGAGGAGATTGACAGTGGCTTCAGCGTTGTTAACAATGCATGCTGGTCTGCTGGCGAGATCGTCATGGTCAACAGCAAGGCCATCTCTCCTTTTGTTCCCGAACTCCTGCAGCGTTTGGTCGAGATCGTCTCGAACCCTGGGGTACAGAACGCCGTCAGCGAGAACGCAGCCATTGCTCTCGGTCGCCTCGGCATTCACAACTCTGAAGTCCTAGCCCCTCTACTGCCGACCTTTGCCGAGGACTTCCTCTCAGCTATAGAGCACGTCGAGTTTCTGGAAGAGAAGGCCACTGCCTTCAAGGGCTTTACCCTGGTCGTTGGGCAGAACCCTCAGGCTATGGAGAAGGCGCTTCCCCAGCTCTTTGTTGCCATTGCAAGGTACAAGGACATTGCTCTGAGGAACCCAATCAAGGCCGAACTGCACGAGCACTTCCAGAAGGTCAGCATCTCTAACCCCTCCTCCACGTGTAGCGATACCTACTGACGTATCCTAGGTTATTACCATGTACCGGGAAATGATTCCTCAGTTCAACGACTTTGTGAACCAAATGCGGCCCGAGGATCAGGAAGAACTCCGCAGGTACTACTCTACATGACGAGAACATGTGGACGCAGTTTGAGCGTTTGCGTATGAAGACGACGTTGAACACGAAGAAAATGGGCCCAATTTTGAGCGATCTTTCATGATATGACTTGGGGAGGAAAATACCACCGAGGCGTCCTTTACAAATGAGTAATGACGATGCTTTTTGGAAGAAAGAGCAGAGCAGAGAGACAGAGGAAGAAACATATCAAGAGAGCAAAACAGGCTTGTAATTGGGTCGCAAGAGAAGATCAAGTCGAAAGAAAGAATGCGACGGAGTTACGATGTGAAACAAACACACCTGGCAATCAACTTTTCTCTGCGACACAAGTGATTGGGGCAGCCGAGACGGATCGTTTGTTTGTCTTTCTTCTTTTTCACACAGCATACCGACGGAGCCAGCATCATGTGACGGGGTGTTTATGGGCAGAGCAGCTTGGAGACGAGAGACGCTTTCATTTATTTCTTTGGTACATGGGCTATTTTCTTTGTAGCTCGTGGTGGAAGGGTCAAAGTAGTTGGGAACTTTCAGTAAGTGGGCGCAGCGCCTGGGGAACCGGACAAGCCTTCAAAGCTTGCTGGGAGGACGCCATTATGTGTTTTCACAAAAGCAACATTTGGAAGTGAACCAATACTCGGAGAGAAAGGTTGGAGGCTTGAACACAGGACAACACGAACCCGTGCGCAAGGAAAAACACGTGGCCCTGCCGGTATTGAAATGGGAAGCGAAGGCGTCATGATGCATGCAAAACACACACCAAAATGGGGCTTTAACCGTCGTAGATAGGTAGATAGGGTAGATAGATAGCTTTAGCATAGGGGGGTTTTATAACCCCCCAACTGTCCCAATGGGGCACCGCGTCGCGCGGGAATTCAAGTTTTGGTATCTTCAGTCTTGATGGGAGTTTGATTGTGGCTACTTAGGATGTCGGTTCTCTTGTTGGTAAGGTAGTGTGTGATCGGTCTCGGCCCCTGAAGGCAGCTTCGTCGGTGACTAGGAGTGCTGTCTGTGAGTTGCTGTATTCGTTCGGTCTTGCGTGTTGCGCGAAGAGGTCAGCCTACATTGGATGGGTACTCGGCATTAACCAGAGCTTAAGTACTGCTGGTTCGAAGATAGGACCCCTATCGCAGGCTCTACGCATAGCCTTAGTGCTGGAGGCGGGAGGGCTGAATGGCGTATATAAAGACAGGCTGGGATCGTTGCGGTTTGGTTCGGCGCCAGACGCGGATGACTTGATGCGCCATCAATCTCTCCTAGTACGCCGCTTTGGTGAAACTCTTCTCGGGAT